GAGCAACCAGCTACTCCAGGACTATTTAATGTTAACATACAATTATACATGCAATGTAACAATAGAGGCCCCCATGGAAAAGTGAAGAATATTTTAATTTTTAAATGTATAAAAATACAATGTTGCTTCTACATAGATTTCGCCGCTTTAGACATCGGAGTGCAATGGGTTAAAAAATAAAAAGTTCTAAGTTTTAGGACAGTCTCCAAAACACGCCAATAAAATCTACCATAAACGTTAGCAAATATGATACAACCTGCCAAGTAAATCACCTTTCAAATCAGACCTTAAACTGGATCCCAAGAACCCAGAGGGTTAAGGCCACACCAATTTACCAAACGATTCTCACGATTGTCACCTTTCACGACATACTTCGAATAGGAATGACCGTAAAATAAGTTCACTAAACTGATCGTAAATCCGCCAGGAAGACATTAATCTCTCCTAGAAAGTCTGAAAAGAGGGATCGCGCGATGTCTTGTCACCTATCGCGGCCCGTTTTCCCGGCATCCATCGCGACAGCTTCTTCCTGAAGTTCTCCGCGGTTTCGATTGGCTTTTCTACACGCCCGACTCTATCGGATCGTGTCATGTTTTTACGCGTGGCGATAACTAAAGAGGGTCGACGGTGCATCGGGCATAAATTTCACTCGAACTCGGTCAATCGTCGCGCGACGTTTTAGCACTTCGGTGAATGCTCGTTCAGGGCTGATGCGCGTAGCTGGATGACGACAGTTCGGTAGCCGTAATCTTATCGACCGGTCGTAACTAACTTCGAAGCAATAAGAATCTAAATGGCCCTCGAGATCGACCGCCTAAGTGATTCTTCGGTGGAGAGAAAGGAATTGTGACTGGGAATCAAAGGAATCTACGGTCTTTTTTATCCTACTTAAGACTTTATACTCGGGACCAGGTATTAATAACAGCTCTTAACTGTACCTACCTTGTAATAAAATCCTACCTACTATACTTACCTTGCGGTGTAATAAAGTCTCGCAATCGTTATTATTAGACTGCGGATTTTTATGCAAAATAAAAGTTTCTAAAGTAATTTATAAAGACGAGCAATCGTAGAAATTTATTTTCCCTCTTAAGTATCTTATTAGGATCAGAATAAAATAGAGAACTCGTTGAATCCGATGAAAGTTTTCTGTTTTATTGTATTTCACAAAGTCCTATAGGCTATAAATGCATAAACTCTGCAGTCTAGTTATTATTATTATTATTGTTCAGTTTAAAGCTAAGTCGATAGGTTCGATAAACTTGACAGTAATCTCTGTATTACAATCATATTTGAGTCGTTCAATTTGTCAACGTATCATACTCTTATGTGTCCACTGTGAACACCCACAAAGCTCATTCTGATCAGTTTGTTCTACAGTTATAATTTACTGAAAAAAGGCTGACACTATATTTCAAACAGTAAAATCAACAATTTAAAAGATTTTCAAAAATCCTTCGAAATACGTTTACAATACCGCTAAAAACTATAATATATTCAAGTTGCAACAAAATCCGAAATGGTATTCCAGAAAGTGTCTGATTTCGCGTTGAATGACCCCAAAGCAATTAATTCCGAAAATTTGATTTAAATGTAGAAAGTTAGTACCAATCAAGTGCTTTGGCGGCAAAATTTGAAGAAATAAAAATTAAAAAGTGAAGTTAATCATTTTGGCCTGAGAAAACTGTTCATTTGATCATCAGAATCTTCGTCACTTAAGAATGAGTATCAGTGACAGTCTACGATTGGAAGAAAGAACTAAAAGTGGGCGAATGGGAAGAGACACACACAAGCGAAACACGGATTTTTGCCGTCGATTTAACCCATTTGACCATACTCGTGTTGTAGCGCGCGGAGCAGGATCGCTGGTAGATACGAACGGCGCTGGAGCGCAACGACGCTCGCTTATGGATGACCACCTCCATGGAAATGAAAAACTTGTCTCTTTGCACGCGTCCTGACGTCGCGAGATCGCCTGGTGACACGATTGAACCGCCGCAGTTTCTCGGTCGGTCCCTCTTAACCGGTCCAGTGAGACTTCTCTCCCTCTCGAAACACCTTTTTTACGGTTCCCCACCCGTCTGCTTGACGGGCACATTGATCGAACCTTTGAGCTTTTGCAAAACACCAAAAAATGAAGGAAGAAAGGAGAGAATAATAAAATAACTCCGGTACCATGGTACAAAGGAAGCTAATATTTATACACTTGTTTATACACTGCTCGAAAGAGTTAGGGGATCGCTGGTGTGGGTGGTCCTGTTGCATCCACCAAGCGAAAGAAACGGAACAAGTGTTACTTATATATTTAGGTTTGCTATATCCATATATTTTCCGTAAGATACTAACACTATTAACACCTAGTTATATTTTTGTGAAAAAACTTTTGGAAGATTATACGTCGTGGTGACGAACAGAGCAATACAAGATCCTCTAATTGTTTCAAACAGTGTATATTTGTATGTTTTAGTAGTTATACACTGTAAATATTCGGCTCACCCTTAATTTATTTTGGTAATATGGTAATATTATTTTACTTCGTTACTTACGGTACTCTACTGTAATATTTTCTATTATTTTCTAACAATTTCTATTAATTTCTATTATTCTCTATTATCTTCAATCATTATTTTTGTAATTCACTTTATTCCTATCTGTACTTGACCCTTTCTTCTATTCGACAACCACCGAGGTATCAAGAGATCTCTGCACCTATAAAAAGCAATTTACTACTCGAGAACATATAATTATAAACAAGGGACAAGCTATCTCTTCCGTTTTCCTTGTATTTCAATTACGTTCATTTGAAAATAATTATTTTATCTTTGAACTTGACAAGACACTTAGTCTACCAATTTAATCCAGCCAAGCTTTACCACCACGATGCTGAAACAACGTCGTTAAACGACAGATTAACCGGTCTAAGCGCAGATAGATCAAGAAAACGACCGAACGACAACGTGTTTCGCGACAATTCAACAACCCTCGGAAAATCTTCATTGAGAACGATTAATCGCGAACAACGAGTGTCCCGAGGCATCCCGAATCGGCTTAATTAGATGAAACGAACCGGCCCTAATGCATTCAATTGGAGCAACGCTTCGGTCGTCGGGGCTGATGTGTCACTCAAGAGACACGTTTCTCCGACTCGGGATAGAGTGGTTAGAACAGATTCGCGCATGTAGAACGGCCGTTTGCCCGTTAATTGATTGATTGAACGCGCGCTTGCACTTCAGACCACGCGTAATAACGGCGTGTTAATGACACGCTTTTTTTTTTGTCTTCCCTCGTTTCGAAATACCCCTTGAACAGGCCACGGACAGCTAGACAGCTAGTGAATGGCCGAACAGAAGTCGCGAGGACGCGGCAACGGTCTTTGAAGCCAGGGAAAAAAGTTTCCGGAGGATAAATTTCTTGGCGAGCATAGAAAAAGATCAGAAGATTAAACGATCTAACACTTTCTGACGACAGTGGATTAAGTTATAAAGAATTTAGAAATATTTCATCAACTGACAGCAGTTTTATATTCTGCACGACAGAGATGGACGAATTTATTATCTGGATAAAAAGTAACGAATGAACGATAAAAGAAGTACTTTGGTATTTTTCATTGATTAAACGTGTAAATTCTAATTTTTTTATAATGAAATGATATTTCTTCTTGAACGAATAGACATTTGGTAAACAATTATTTAATTTCATTGATTGTTTCAAGGTCAATATGACGTTCTTGGGTTCTGTTGCTTTCCTCTATGTATTATTCGAAGAAAATTCTGCCTAACTCTGTTGCACAATTATTATAGTGGATTGGAACGATAAACGGATGATGGTTGTAACAAAAATAAAAACTTGAAAGTCAAAATCTAATTGTAGGGGGAGTACACGATAAAACGCTAGATGAATCGATGAGAATAAAAGAATAATTATTGCTGAGTAATATGATTAGATGTTATAGTAACATCCCAAAAAGTCTCCGTTCAATCTAATCCGTTCGTGGATCAATCGTACGTAACTTACACGTTTGAAGCGAAACGTCTGGCACCATTTCTGCTTAAAAAGCGTATTTAAAGTGAACGAGTTTTTAATAAATTGCCCCATCGAATTTATTATTATTACAAAAATCTGTGTAAATATAGTTCTACGTCGACTGCTTCGAAAGTCGAGCAAAGAAAAAAAAACTGCCTTCAGTTTCGTCTTCTGAAGCATTTCGGTTCGTTCACCGTCAGACAAGTGGGGTGGTCCTGAATCGCGCGTCCATGAAATCCACCAGATTATCAGCCATAATCCCCTTTTCACGCGTTTACGAACGCATTCTCGTCAGAATCGCAAGACATTTAATAAGGGGACTGAATTTTTTTACAAACCAACTCGATCGCATCTTAATGAAGCGTGTTAGGGAGGGAGGGGGTGGACGAAGGGTGAGGCCTGGGTGAAGAAGAATACACGCACGAGTGGTGGGGAAAGAGAGCAAAAAGAAGATGGCCATGCATAAACAATGCAAGGCACAGTTGACTCTTAATTAGCGGCGTGCCTCGCATCCCGAAAGCCATCGTCTGATCCCCATGGAACGAATCCGTTGGACGGAAGATGAACGACTGTGGTGGATGCGTGGCCAGTTTTCGGTCGCATCGTTCAGTCTAATGGGTTTCTCCGTTAATTTTTAATTAAATGACCGTTATAACAAATATTCGTACGGCATATGAATAATAAAATATTCAGTGTAAACGTGTTAGTAGTACCGATGAATTGTAGTCGTACCGATTCTTTGTTCAAAATTAGGAAGACAGTATGATGGTACTGATAATAATAGACACATTCTTATTATAATTTCCAAAAAAATATCTATGATGCATTTGGAACGATTACAAATAAATATGACAATAAATTTTCATAGTTTTCATGGTAGTGATATTAACGATATGATTGTAAAATGCGTACTGAAAGAATCACAGAAGATTTTAAAATCATAGTATTCTACTGACCCGACACTTTTGTTCTTCCAGGTCTCTCAGATCTATAAAGACCAATCGATCGGAAATCCCATAATCATTTCCGTGATGAAAATCGTCCAAGCCGATATACTATTCGCGACCAGACGAAGCAGACGGGGAGGGGTGATCGCGGACGACATGCTGAAGCAATTTTGTCACTGGCAGAAAAGCAACAATACGAATGTATCGTCGCCGGATCACCATGACGCGGCTCTCCTTCTAACAAGGTGGGCCCAATTTATAATTATAATATTAAAATTTTCAATTCTTATCTATCTAGAGAAACGAAAGTTTTGTCGCCGGTTAATATCTACCTTTTGTCAGCGAGGATCCGTAGTTTCACTGATGTGAAGTAGATCTCCGCGTTTTCAATTGAGAAATTCAAGTATTCCCTCCAAAAATAAGTGAAGAAAGAACAAAATGAAAACAAAAATAGGTCTGTTTAATATCGATATTTTCGACTTCGAAATAACAAGATGCAACATATATATCAATTTCATAATTTTAAAATGACAATTTAAGGGTCTGGGTGTCAAAGGATTAATCAAACAGTCGAAAATTTAAATTTAACCAAATGTTAAATTTACGTAACACCCTACGAATTATCCTTTCATTTGTAGGAATTATAAAATCGTAAATTCTTCGATTAAATATTTCGTGGAAAATATTTTAAACCGTGGATATACGATATATTTGTTTAACTTAAATATTTTCAGGCATAATCTCTGTCACAAGCCCGAGGACGTGCACTGCGACACTTTGGGCCTGGCCAAGCTGGGACAAGTCTGCGCCCCAAGATTCTCCTGCGCTATTGTTATGGACAACGGTTTGTCCGCTGCGTACACCATCGCCCATGAGATTGGTCACCTGTGAGTAAAACCATCGTCGGAGGCCGCGAGGGTATTTAGAATCGCGTAAATAAACGCTTATTCCGGTCGTGAATGGGCACGGGATGGTAGTCCAAGCAACTGGCACCAGCTGGACCGCTCTATAAATATTTCGGGATTGTAGGAAATGAACGGTGGGATGCTGAAACATGCCTTCTCTCTCGACTCTGATTGGAAATTATGACAAATGAGGAATGAACGATATTTATATTGTACTATATTATTAGGTGCACCAATAACTTATCCACTAATTTCTTCTTAATAAACTGATAACACTGTTATAAATTTAAAAATCTTTGAACCTTTTTCTTCTGTCAAATATTTCGGGATTGTAGGAAATAAACTGTGGGGTGCTGAAACATGCCTTCTCTCTCGACTCTGATTGGAAATTATGACAAATGAGAAATGAACGATATTTATATTGTACTATATTATTAGGTGCACCAATAACTTATCCACTAATTTCTTTTTAGTAAACTGGTAACACTGTTTAATTTTAAAAAAACATTGAAGAACGGGTAAAAATGTCAGTGAAGCAGCATAGACTTCTGATTTCCTCGGAAATCATACTGAATTTGACTGAATCTAATACATTACTGATTGGTACACCTAATATACTATATATTCATTAAGCCTTTGACTGCGAACAGCGCGTTGAACGTTCTTCATTCTTTGTAACAAGAAATTCGGAAATGATTGTTTTTTAATCTGCCGTTACTTTGCATCCATAGTACGCTTCTTCTTCCTTCATTTTTACGCTTTATAAAATTCATACAAACAATTGGATGTTTTTAAAATTATTAACATAGAACATCGGAACATCGTACACGGCGAACGTCCTGCTTTCGAGTGATTCGCAGTCAAAGGGTTAGATTTCTGTGGTACCACACGAATTAATTAAACATTGGTTGAACACTAACTTTTCCAAATCTTCTAAAGAATATGGACTTTAAAAAAAGGAAAAAGCATCTCAGAATATCCTGTACATTCTACAAAAATATTTTCCGTGAAGAAAACTAATTAGACTTTGGAACTTCTTCCGAAACACGTTTACGCGAGAGATTTCAGTACGAGTCAAAAGCGCTCAAACTGCATCTTTTGTGGGATCTAAACGGAATTTATCGTTTAAATTTCAGATTAAACATGCCCCATGACGATGAGAAACAGAAGTGCAGCAAGTACGTGAACGGCACACACGTGCAAAACATTATGTCCACGGCGATGGACAACAACACTTATCCATGGGAATGGTCGAATTGTTCCAGACACTACGTCACCGACTTCCTCGAGTGAGTTATATTACCTTGACAATAAACGGGGACAGCATTCTGAAAAGCGTCATTCTGTCGAATTGACCCGGGTGCCATGTAGCACGGCCTCGTGGTACGTTTGATTTCGTGCTGTGTCTCGTTAGAATTTACTTATTCTTCATATCAAATCCAGCCAGTCTGTCCACCTTGCCTTCAATAGGAGATATTCTAAATATCGATACTGTATCACCCATCGAGAGGGTGATTACAGTAATCCCAAGAGTTTTTAAAAGCTTCACCCGACTCATCAACCCATACAATCGTATTTAAGCTAACGATTCTTCTCGTTAAATTTTATAAAAAAGCGTTGGTAATGTTGAATGATTTCCGAAAACAATGTTTAAAAAAGTAGAAAGTACAAGGGGTCCAAACAGACCCAAGCACCACTGCTGTACGAGCGTTAAAAACCGTCGTCCACCCTCCGAAGATTAAATAAAATTCTATCTTCTTTTCAAACTACTTCGTACATTCACGAAACCCCTCGAAAATTTAATCATACCCCCATGACGTCACCGCGCGGAAGGAGTACAGGCGTTCGGAAGAGAGATGCAGTACGGCGAGTTTTTCTGCGATGCCAGAAGAACACGGTGAGCGACTCTCTTCGCGTAGGAATCCGGTTCTCCGGGGCCTGGATTCTAAATGACCAGTGCACGCTTCGGGTCCCATTTGTTTCCGACCGAAAAATTCGCTCTCTTCTCGATGATGGTGATGCATGGATCGTTGACCAGGACACGATCTTTGAGCTAATTCTCGAAATTTCGTATTGCAGAGCCGGCCACGGCGACTGCCTGCTCGACGAGCCCGACGAGATCATGGAGAAGGAGGACACGAGTAGACTGCCCGGCGAGGATTACTCGACTAACAGACAATGCGAGTTGAGCTTCGGCGCCGGGTCCAGATTTTGTCCCCGGTTAAGTAAGGGTAAGTCACGCGTTTTTCTAACCGATATCCGAATATCATCCACTTGAGATGGCGTATCTATTTAAGATTTTTCTTCAAAGAACGACATACTGGTTGATAAAAACGATATAATGTGGTCTTGAAGCAGAAACAGTCTGACCCCGGATAGCACATGACGCTTTGAAGACGCCCATTTCACGACTATTTTAAGTCTAAGGCGCCTTAAAACTATGTATTAAAAGTATACATATATATATGCTATCTGGGCGTCTCTACCGTTAAGAGAGTAAAGCTTTCCGTGATCCTTTTTATGTGCAGCCGTGGGTAGCCATGTCTGGTAATCCATAATAAAAAGTTCAATTAATGTCATAGAATGGTTGGGCTCGTTTGTACCTAATCTGAATGTACACCCTCTACGATTTCTCGTCTATCCACGTTCAGATAGAGCGATATAATCTCGGCCCAGTTGCTAGAATCACCCTCTATAATGAACACGCTGCTTAAGAATCGAGATAAACTGAGCGGTTGGTTGGTTATCGGCCAGGCAGTATGCAAGAAATTATGGTGCACCGCACCAGGCCGGGATGACCGTGGACAATGTTACACGGAGCAATCGCCATGGGCGGATGGAACCCCGTGCGCTGACGGGAAATGGTGTTATCGTGGCAAGTGCGTCTCCCGTAGGAATCTCGAGCCGGTCGACGGCCAATGGGGCGAATGGGGACCGTATGGTCCGTGCTCGAGAACCTGTGGCGGCGGTGTGCAGAAGAAAAAGCGGGAATGCAACAATCCTCCGCCGGAACACGGCGGCAATTACTGCGTCGGTGACAGCGTTTACTATAGCAGCTGCGGGACTGACGAGTGTCCACCTGGAAGTCCGGATTTCAGGTAGTTACGTACCCCTAAATGATCCCGTGAAAAAACTGTCTCCTCTCCTCGACTGAGTATCTCGAATTCAGAACTTGCAAATCTCTTTCTAACCACAGAAAGAATAGAAACAAATACAGTAAATCATGGATGAGTGTTCGAAGACTCTTTGGCACTGAGTGTTCAGACGTCATCCTTATTACTGGGCGCTTGATCGGTTCCACAGAGGACCCCTCAGTGGTGGGAATGACGTCTGAACAATTCAGTGCCAAGGAGCTTTTTAACACTCATCGATGATTTACTGTATCTGTAAAGAAAACAAAGATACATCCGGACAGAGGTACCTATGTATTTCATACAAGCTTTATCCATTGATCCATTGTAATCTCTTCTGTAGGGGACAACAGTGTTCAGGTTTCGACAACAACACCATGGACATAGAGAACCTTCCGAGAGATGTGAAGTGGTTTCCCAAGTACCTCGGCAGTAAGTAATTCCGTTGGCTATGATTTTAATGGCGGCCTATAAACGGTACGATTTGTCGTACAACTGATCGTACAACCTAGGTCGCTTCGACCGTCTGAACGACAGTTGCAACGTTTGTGGGACGGTCGTACGACTTGGTTCGACCTAACCGTCTGTTCAACTCCTTGTGCAACTTGTACGACAAATAGTATGAATTATAACAGCCTTTAGACTCTAAGACTTAGAGTGTCTGGAATCGACTAAAACTTATTCTCCGGTCACGTTCCCCGATTTCAGTATCGCCGGAGAACCGCTGTCGATTGTACTGCCAAACGATCAGCCATCAGAACATCTATGAGTACAAGATGAGGGACAAGGTGATAGACGGGACACCGTGCGGCCTGGACAGCTTCGACGTATGCGTGAACGGCTACTGTAAACCAGCCGGATGCGATCACGTTTTAGACTCGACCGCGGAACTGGACACTTGCGGGGTATGCAGGGGTGACAATTCCACCTGCCAGAGGATCACGGGCTCCTACAATTACACGAATCAGGGTTACAGGAGGGTAACAACGATACCAGCGGGCAGCAGCCACATTGACATTAGACAGCACGGCTGGATGGGATTGCCCAACGATACCAATTATCTTGGTACGATTCTTCATTACTGATTTCGTTTGTCGCAACAGTATTGCTAACAATGAGAGGATTCCAAATGTATATCACAGATTTGGTTCAAACTCTTCTCACTTAAAGTATAAACTATGCACAAACAAACCCTAATGGGGTTTCGCCACATACTCTCTTTAACTGCCTCGGTTACATCACTCTTGTATTCAGTGTTTCAAATTATGTCTCATCTTCCGCCTCAAAAATGTTTATTGTTAATTTTCTCAACAACGAAGGCCTATGTGGCGAAACCTCACTAGGGTTTGTTTATGCATAGTCTATACTTTAAGTGAGAAGAGTGTGAACCAAATCTGTGATATACATTTGGAGTCCTCTCCTTGTAAGACTTATTATGAGATTCGGCTCGAATAATGTTGCTTCACACGGAGCTCTTCGTTTATGAGAAAATGGGATTTCGAATGCGTCTAGAAAATATGTATATCAAAGCCCATTGATCAGCAATTGATTGCCATTTTCTCGAAAACTCACACTGCTCAGCCTAACGGCAGATTTTATTTATGCTTATGATACTACGAGACAATTTTATTTAGCATTGAAACTGGCAGAGAATGGGAAATATATTCTCAACGGGCACTCGAAACTGATGCTCGGTAAGGTAATCGCCATTGTGGAATCCGGTATCACTATCGAGTACAGCGGACCTGATTCGGTCGTAGAACGTCTGAACAGCTCCAGATCGATCGGCACCGATTTGATATTGGAAGTAAGTCCTGGGCGATTTAACTTTTCTTTCTTTCGTGAAACATTTCTTCGATCGGGGCATTTGATCTTTCCAGGTGTTGGTATCGAACGAATATAAACCACCTCAAATCACATACGAGTACACAGTACCGAAGAAGATCCTGAACAGCTACGCTTGGGTCCTAAGCAACTGGTCCGAGTGTAGTCACATATGCAAAGGGATGAAGTATCGTAAAGCTGAATGTCGAAATACCGAGAACAAAGACATCGTTTCTAATGATTATTGTCGTAAGGAAGAAAGACCTCGTGAAGAAAGCCAGATATGTAACAATCACTGTAATCTGAAGTAAGTCTTTGTATCGTGAAATCTTTAAGTTCAAATCGTTCTTTATTCACAGTAAGATTTCAACGTCAAGTCATCTACCAATGATCATTACAAAATCCGTTTCAGAGTAATTAGTTGTACCCAGACGAAGATTTCTTGCGTCCATCCACTTGCACTTATAGAATATTAAATATACAAATAAACGGTTAAGACGGGAACATTAATGATACGATTGTTCCAGGTGGCAAATCACATCTACAAACGAATGTTCCAGTCACTGTGGTTTGGGTACACGAACAGTGACTTCGAAGTGTGTGCAGATCTTACTGAACTCGGACGAACGTTCTCACCCTATTCAAGAGAGAGCTTGTGCACATCTTAAACGTCCTAATCAAGAGGAGCCTTGTACAGGACCTTGTGACAGTTTTCATTGGAATTACACGGAATGGGGCAGTTGCAGTGTCACTTGTGGAAATGGCGTTCAACACAGAACAGCTATTTGCGTGAACTCGAACGAGAGGCATGTACCTGCAAACAATTGCGACAGACAGGAGAAACATCTGACGAGGCCATGCGCTCAAACTGTATGCCCCAAGTGGGATTTTGGAAACTGGGATCCTGTAAGCATTATAGATAACTTTCCAAACAATAACCGTACACACAATATCATAAATATTGATGCTGACATAGAACTCTCCAAGCTTATGAAACTTATGAGTTATGTCGTAGAAGTTAATTTTTGTAATTCGTATAATCTTTTCAATTATAGTGTTCAGTAAAATGTGGAATCGGCAAACAACATCGATATTACTTCTGCCATGTGAATGGTCGTGTTGTACCAAACAACCATTGCGGTGACCCACCCTCTGGGATTACAAGGGACTGTAATGCTGGACCTTGCAAACGCTGGCAGTCCAGTGATTGGAGTTCGGTATATAATTATATTATATGGTTACCATGTTTCACTCATTGAGTTACACTTCTTTGTCATTCAAAGAAATTACTTACGACAATGGCACAAAAGAGAGGAATGGTAATTCGTGAAAGTTTGAATGAAAAAATAAATGCAAAGTGTTCCATGTCTAATAAACTAAAAAAAAAACCAGTCATAATTTGATGTATTTAAAACATAATAAGTTAATATTTCTTATCACAGGTCAATCTAACACCAAATAAATATTCTTCTGATCCACCGCATGAAGGTTTTTCTCCGCAAGACAATGAGGTCGATGACATCTCTTTCCATTTTGGGTATCAATGGCAAGTTGGATCATACAAGGAAGTTGGTACTTTTATTCGGTTAAATCTGATATTTACTCAATTACGAAAATTATATATTGTTTTCATCTCAGTGTTCTAGGGCATGCATCGGGGGCTTTATCAACAGAGTAGTGAAATGTGTTTCTAATAACACAGGAATCATTGCTCCTGATGTCTACTGTGACAAAAAGAAGAAACCGTCCACCAGAATTGCTTGTAATCGTCACCAATGTCCAGATTGGCATACAACTGATTGGAGTCAGGTTTGTTACCAAATATTATATCGTATTCTATCGATATTATGAGATTCTCCATCAGTACAATTTAACATTTTTGCAGTATGTTGTGTAAGGTGTTGTATATTACATACAGTGGTTTAATTCTTTAATTTGTCAATTTAGTGTTCTGTAAAATGTGGATCTGGATTCCAACATCGGTACATACGTTGTCAGAGTCCAAATGGTACAATCTTACCAAACGAGAATTGTCATGAGAGTCAGAAACCGACAACAGTACAGGTGTGCTATCAGGCCCCGTGCATGACTGGCCGGAAGCATCACTCGGACACGAACATTTACCGAACATGGAAAACCTCTACCTGGAGTGCTGTAAGTATTGTTTTTCCATATAACATTAATGTCTGTATTGCTTTAATTGTATATGTTAGTTACTTTAGCGCAATTGCCAATAACAAAAAAGTCTTTACAATGATTTGATATCATAATTATCATATTGAATTATTTTATAACATGTAAATTGCTTAATGATATAATTAAGTAACAATAAAGATATGACTTTTTATTGTACCTGCTATGAATACATTATACTTTACAGTGCACTTAACTGCTAGTACTCTTTGTAGGAAAATTATCTTATGAAAAATTTACAAAGGTAATGTAATTGAGTGTGTTTTGTCACTCCATGCTGAGTCTTCTATTGATGTTGTGGATATTTGATATTGTCGTTGTTCCAACCACCTGTTTTATACTGTGCACTGAACAGCATGCAAACGATTTACATTATGATTGTTAAATTTCCTTGTTGCTCAGCACTCTATGTAAAAATTCAGCCTTCTTTATAATTTTAATGCTACTGCAACATGTAGCCGTACAAATTACAAGATGAGAACAAACATTATGAACAGTGTGATTTAAAGACAAATTTTGTTCTACAAAAGCTATTAGATCCTATATAGTACCAGTGACAATTAGGTAGCACAAATAGAATTGGAAAATATTGGTTCGATAAAATTGATCGATATTTGATTGCTGTTCAATCCAAAAGTGTATTGGTAAACATTCGTCTGGGTTCAGTGAAATTGAATCTATTTGGTACGGTATCGTTGTGGAAGTCGAAGAGAGTTCAGAAAGTTGCCATCAGTCGCAGTTTGGTCGAACGAAAATATTTTACAGTGTTCGAAATCGTGCGGTAGCGGACTACAAAGGCGACGGGTGGAATGCACGATCAGGAGAGGAAACCATGGGCCGCAAGTGACTGTTAAGGATGAGCAATGCACGAGGCTTGGCCTCAACAAGCCAAGATCGCAGAGACCCTGCCGACGCGTTGCCTGTGACTATATTTGGCAGGAAGGCGCTTGGTCTGAGGTACCTTCATACCTCGCCATTACGATCAATCGATCATATTTTATATCATCGCCTGCCTCTTATTCATTTCGACGTAGTTCCCCACTGAATTGTCTTGGCTGGATTCTATTGTCGAGCTTATTGATGGATTCACCATCAACTCTAATCCATAAAACAAGTAGAAAATCAATTCCTCAGCTTAAACGTATGTTGTATTTAGGAATATCATGTGTTTCTTCTGGAATTCATCTATAAGCTTGATTTTTTATGCTCAATTTGGGTATTGTTTGAATAGAGACTCATTAGGAAGTCGTAATCCATTATGTGGTTTGAGGGATATTAAACGATGTATATTTGTTTATATATACTTACTAAACATATTTATAATAACATGCATTATATTGTTATGCCAACTTTGATCGTGAAAGGTTTTGGTATGTTTCCAATTTGGTAAGGTGATTGATTCGTAGGCATAGAGAGCAAACATCCGAGTTCAATATCAGTGTTGTTCAAATATTTCTTTTCCACTATGAAAAGTTTTAATATTCATGACATCCAAGTCTTATATTTATGTATAAAAATTCTACAAGTATTTGAATTGCAAATACGCTGAAAACATGTCGTCTGAAAAAAGTAACTCGATAAATTACTTTATTAACACTGATAACTTTGTGTTAGTTCAATTGTTTCATTCATATGTTTTTGTTTCCGAATGGGTATACAAATTGTATGATTTTCTTTATCCAATATTCCCTGACATACAGCATGTGGATGCTGTCACATGCATGGTATATGTAAGATGCATATACATTTATCACAATGTGAAACATTTCTGTGTTATATCTTTATTTTCCCATGCAAATATATTTTTTGTTTTATTTTTTTTTCAGCTTCCATAGAAGTATATTTAATCAACATTTTTAAACATGTATTAATTTAATTATACTCAGTGCATGAGCATGAATTTACTACATTTTTAATTACATTTTCTGCACGCTAAAAAATGTTTTTTAATGAACTATGTAAATTTTATTATTTAGAGAAACAACATTTTTTATAATATATACTGTATCACATAACTAAGTTGTTAATATACATTTTTCTCATTACAAAATTTCATTGTCACTAACTTAAAACTTACTCATTTGAAAAAACAAGTATGATCTACTCGACAAATTTATAATGTGATATTAGATTCTATATTTAAAGAAAGATACACAAAAAACATTAAAAAATACACCAGTTTCTAAACTGGTCTATATTACTATATGAGAATTCGAAGAGAACATAAGCATGTTTATTTTCAGTGTTCAGAAAAATGTGGAGAAGGGATCCAACGTAGAACAGTGACCTGTCACCATGTCGATTCTTCTGGATTCATGAAACCAACACCCAGTGATAACTGCCCATTAGATCAGAAACCATCTACTAAGCAGATTTGTAAATTGCAAGAGTGTGATGATAAGTATATTTGGAACCCTGGCCGATGGAGGAAGGTGAGTTTTTTAAAAGCAGCATTAGTATTGGTTTCTGCAGCAAAATAAATTTGTAACTAATAGACAACTGGGAAAAATTTTAATTTCAGTGCAGTCACACTTGTGGGCAAAAGGGTCGTCAGACTCGACGACTATTCTGCCGTGAAAGAACCAGCAGAAAGAAAGTAAATCATAGATATTGTCCTCTCCAATTCAAGCCAAAGCGAAAGAGAAAATGTAACCAAAGAAAATGTTATCCAATATCTTGTCTCGACGCAAAGGATTACTATAGAACAAACATAGATAGTGAGTACAGCTTACTTGTGGGTGGAAGGAACATGTCTATCTATTGTCATGACATGTCAACTTCTCAACCTAAAGAGTATTTGACATTACCAGCTGGGAGTAGAGAGAATTATGCGGAAATATACGATAAAAGGTTAGTGTTTGAAGGCATTCTGTTTTGAATAAAAAATATTGACAAAATTATATTCCTTTTGTTAATTTTGTTGTTAATCTATGTCACTTCATCGGATTCCTCTTACATATAAAGTTATACATGTTTTAGATTAATAGATAGTCAGTCGTGTCCATACAATAGATGGAGAAATAATAATAGTTGCGGCTGTGCTACTAATACTGGGTCCATTTCTGGTAAAACAATGTTTAGAAGGGTACGAATTGATCCAATTAAGCTGTACATTTTAGGTAAGATGATATTTATATTAGCTCTAAATATATCAAGAAGTTAATGTTTCTTCTTAGTACTTTTAACCACATGTTGTGTTTCAGAAAGTGATAGTATATTCTCATGGACAACAGGTGAAAAACGAATAAAGTATGGCATGACTGGTGATTGCTACAGTCATGCGTACTGTTATCAAGGGCGTTTTAGTATTAATTTAAGTGGAACTCAACTGAAACTATCATCAGATGTTACTTGGAGGAGGACACCTGGAGCATCAATGGAAATTAATAAAATTGTAAGTAATACATGGTTTATTATCCACATATGTGAAAATTGAAGTAAAATTTTAAGAATAAAAGTCAAATTCTAGTTTGAATCTTAATAGAACTCCATAATAGAAATGATCTTTACTTATTTACACAAAATTGTATTGTTGTCATCATAAATGTTATTCAATTACATCCTACAGAGCAGTCAACATGTCACTGGAAAATGTGGGGGCTACTGTGGCTTCTGTAGTCCTGACATTGGATTAAAATTAGACGTATTGCCACCTTAGCCTTTGATATAAAGAGCTTACTAATCTCTAATTGCCTGTAGAGGACAGGTATGTAAAAAGAATACTTTTTAAATTCTTTTTTTTGAGGCTAATAAACAAGCTGTTGAGGTAAAGTAGTAAAGTTTCAAAATCACTAAGCCATTACATGAAACTTTAAGAATCACTTGAGGTTTGTTCACTAATTCTTAACCGCATTATGCCAATTGTACAATTTGAACTTGGAATTGAGTATAGCGCTAACAGCCTTTTAGGATCCTTGTCAATACATTTTTATCTGACTACAAATTAGAAAATTTTAAATGTATGGAAATCTAAATAGAACATTTGCAGCTTTCAGCAATTAGAAATTCCATTAGTGGATTTGAGTACGTTGTAAAGACTGATTCAACGAACACAAGATGAAATCGACGACCTGCTAACGGGCTGATTCCTTGACGTCAAGGTTGAAACTGTATCATTTACTTAAGTTGTCACTAGTCTCCGTGATTCTTAACAGTTAAATATTAACGTTACACAATCAAAGAAACAGTTTCGACGCGAAGTTGCAGGCCCAAGAATTGTAAAGGGACACTGGTAGTAATTTATTCTCGAATAGAGAATAACTATCTATTGATTCGTATTTAAAATTCAATAGTTTTATTTATTGAGAATAAAAACGCTCGTAGGACTCGAATTTTTTTATTAATTTCATTTATGATAGTAACATTCTGAATTGCTATTAGTTACTGTTTATAATTAGTGATTCTAGGAAAAAACCTGCGAATTATGTAAGTTTTCAATAGCCAGTTTCACGAATGATGTACTATTCTGCAAGGTGGGAGTAGTTACATATTAGCAATGAATAGAAACTCTTTGCAAAAAATTCAGTGAAACTGAATAAAATTTATATTTGAATACTTACAAAATAGATAGTATAGAAGACAATATATGTAGATTACAAATTGATAGGACTCCGTAATAGTTCTATTTTTTCAAACTATTTACCAAATTCTTACACACCTGTCCAGTTAAGAGTTCCATTAGGTGTATAAGTAACTTAATATCCAGTAAGAACTGCAGTATTCATTTTGTTTATACTCATTGAAACATCATGACTGCCTGAAACTTGTTTATAAAAAAGTATGTAAAAACAAATAGCTATGTCAGTAAGCAAGTGAAGTCCAAATTGGAGAAACAAGTGGTACAAGTCCACTTATATTCTGGAAACTAATGTACAAAGGACTCTAAACTGTACTAAGTTCAAGAGTTAAAAGCACTTAGAGTATATTGTAATGAACAACCAGGATTGAGCTTGAACTGCTTGGCCTTTAAAAACTTCAGCTTCGCATGGATGTGAAAATGTAAAGTGCAGCGATAACTTAAAGCAGTTATCCATTCTATCACTGCCATATTTTCATGCCTTATATTCTACGGTTTTACGTAGTATCATGAGAGAAGCATTAAAGTTTTATGCAAACTTAGATTCTACTGTAGCGGAACTATGTTTATCAGATAGAAAAGTATCAAGTATGGTAATGAAAGGAATTATATTAGGGAGAAAATGTATTGATGTTCTCATAATAATTCAAACCTTCCTTTTCTCTGTTATTATTCGAGCTGCCAAATCCTAAAGTCACCATAATTTCTGCTCCCTAATATAACACCACCGCAAGGGTTAAACACCGCGACTTTAGTATTTTCATGGCACGTAGTAATAACTATAAGCAACATATAATTTAGTGTGGTAGATTTAGAGAACGTACTTTTGGAGCTGACAATTTTGTATCGCGTTTTCGTGAGCTCCCGATGTAGCTAATGAATTAACTTATTGACTTGAGTTCATGGGAACTCAATTATTGCAGACGATTATTTTATATATACCGATATTTCCAAGGAAATTTATTCCCCTCGATATAACGTCTTACGATTGTGCAACTGGGCGAAAATATATAAGATAGTTTCGTACCTATAGAAAAAAAAAACAATTGTTGAGTACAAATCTTGTTTGGTAGAGGTACGACGAACTCGTTCTTCACAGATTAATCTGAGGTTTAAAAGAAATTTAGCTGACCACATATGTTTCAACAACTGCCATAGTTAACATTATCAAGTACATACTATAGTTATTAATAGTTTTTTTAGGAGAAAGAGAATAATCTCAGCGAATTCGGCCATCCTGTAGTCTAGAGTCTAGAGAAACTTAGAAAATAATTGAGCGACCGTTTTGTCGAATGAACAATTGTATTACCAAGGTGCCCCATTAGTTTGGATACCCTAGCGGAAAACAGTAATGCGAGAAAAGTGTTTTGTAACAATTATTTGTACAGCCGTATGATCAAAATTTCATATCATCGTCGACCAAATTGATCAGACGATAAGTTTCATTGCGTTTGTAAAGATTTAATAGCTTTTATAAAACAGCAGCTTTCATATTTGCTTTTAAATCATTTATGACAATATTGATATGTTTGTCAGTGAATGCCAAACCACGACTGTTTAATGATAAAAATAGGGTATTTTGCATGACTAAATGTATCTGTTCACGTATGTATATTACTATTTAGTAGTCGAACAGTAGTTTAGAAGCTAACACGTGACAATCTCTCCCATTATTAGTAGGTATTCTTTTTCATTTAACTGTAGTTTTTTCGTGTGAAATTTCATACGTTCTTTTCAACAGTTCTGCGAAACAATTACGATTTATTACTGCCACTATCGAGTATTTTTATAAACTTAAGAACATTGTATAATTATAAGCGTATAAGTTACGATCTCGGCATCCGAAGTTGATTTAACTTTCCGTATCTTGCGTGTTCTCGAAGACAAATGTAATTGATCTGCACACAGCAAAGTAACACTGTACAGTTTCGTTTAGTAATTTATTAATACGTATTGTTTAATACCATTAATATGTAGCTTAAATATATTAGATTCACAAGTAATGATCCTTTTTGTTTATTTCAGTGTCTTCCTTGCTAAAACATTGTGTTAATACCATTAAAATATCATTGGTATCATCTCAATATCTTTTGTAATTCAAAATTATATGCAATTTCCATACAGGTCAGTTATGTCAAATAGAAGTGACTTATCTATTAAAATCATAACATTCCATACAATATGTATATATCTTGTACACGTATATCAGTACTTTTGCTTCCACAAGGTTACTTCACAAACTTTTATCACTTTCTGTATATTAATAATAATAATACCAATTATCTGGAACACTAGTGTCTTTTATTCAATTTTACATTCCTATTAATGAAACATACCTATATCAATTATAATTCTTCCAAAGTTGAATAAACATAAAAATTTACATACATTTAATTGTTTTGTAACACTCCTAAATAAAATTGTTAAATCAGTCATATGTTTATGTAACATAACATTATATTCCAAAATAAAATACATGTAATACTTTCTCTGTTACATTTTTATGTAACACACAAAGCAAATAAAACCTTAGACATAATAAGTCATTTTATTCTATATAAATACTCTTTTAAGTCATGTAAATTTAATAGTCTTTTCTTTTGTTAAACATAAGTAACAACTTTTAAATTAAAATTTTTAAATGAATTTTATATTCTCTTACTTAAAAATTACTAAATTTCACCAGCACTATTAATGTTCTCTTCACTTAAAACCTGGATAGGATTTTCCTTCTTTTTTATAAAGAATAAAAGAATATTTTCTTGGTTATTTTCTTCTCTATTTACATAACCTTGTATGATGATAGTCATGTAGACAACAAACAATCATCAATATTTAATCTTTTTGCATTGTTTTATATTACTAATCATTGTTTTCAATGCAAAAAAACAGATTCCAAAGTGTTTTTCTTCATTTAATACCTCTTCATTGTATGTGTAACTCATCCAATATGTGGCATAGATGTCGCCACCTTCGCAACGATCATAGATGTTCAATCCTTTTTCACGTTCAAAAATTTATTCTATTTAGTCGTAGTTTAAAAAATTGTTCATTTTAATTATTACTTCATCCATTGCAACAACATGAAGTGTGTTACTCTATATTACGAAGAGAATTCGACCACAGATAGATATGAAGTTTAGCGGTAAGATGTGCGAGTCCGCATGATATGCATTGGATTGCTAGATTCATTTGAATTAGAATTGTCTATTTCATTCTGACTTTCATTCAAAACTGACTTCGGAATCCTAATACGCCAGGTTGGTTTACTATTTACCGACCTACTTTCACTCGATTGCGATAAAGATTGTTGCGATATATATTGATTTTTCCTTGGTTGTTCAACCAAATGTTTTCCGTTGGTGTACAGTTTTGTCTCCTCTTCCGTTAACTTCTGTAGCATAATTCGACATTCTTGTAAATGCAAAGGCTTTTTTTCCTTCTTTTTCATCAAATCACAAAACGATCGTTGCGTCTTACCGTCATTAATGAAAAACATTTTTGAAACACCGGATTTCTTATTCCTTTGAATTTTAATCTTAATTTTACCATTAATTCTCGGACATTTCCGTTTGGAGATTGATGTCATTTTCCATCCGTCTGATTCCGTATTTGACTTCAATTTCATTTTATTTTCACCATTAATCAACAAGTTTTTTTCTTCCAAATGTTTATCCGTTTTCTCGTCTCTCCTCATCGAAGCCCATTTTCTCGCTATTTTGTGCATCTGCCCGTCTAGATGTTTACATTTTTCTTTTAGATCCTCCAACTTTATTTTACCTTCTGTAATCTTTCTTCTCAGGTTCTTCACCTGCTTCATTAATGCCTTTTCATATATACTCTCATAAAACAGTAAATCCTTTTTTAATTTTTCGTACTGTACTGACAAGCGTCTCCTTTTTCTTGCTAACTTGTTGATCCCATTGCTCTTTAGTTCCTCTGCTTTCATGTCTTCCTCATGGTAGACATAGTAGTTTATCCGCTTTTTAAGTAGTTCCAAATCCATATAAATTTTGTCTACATTGTACTTTGCCTTCTTGGCTTTGACCAAATCCATGTTGTCCCATATGACTGACCTCATCATGAAATCGATTCGCCTCTAACCTAACAAACTCTTCGATGATGCCATCTAGCCTTTCCAACTCGAGCGGGATACGTTCTGTCGATTCCCGTTTGTTTCAGATCAAGATCAGTCTTCATATGCATATAATTCACACCTACAAAGATACGATTACAGGTGAACGCAGGTGAACGGATACTGTCCACCTGACAGGCCCAAAATTAAACAGTAAAGTTCTCGTCAATCGTAAATATGCTACAATATGCTGTCTCCACCACCGCAATAACAGGACACCGCGCCATCTACAAAACAGACGCTACTATCAAAAGTTCAACTGGACGTGCCCTTCGCGTCCCCTAGAACGCTTTAATCTTGCAACATTGTTATATTGATACTCAATTGGCTATTTTTTAAACAAAACACAGTTTATCTAGCGAATTTGAGATTTATTGGAAGAGCTAAGGTGGAAATACTATACAGAGCTGAAAAGATGGCATGCGGAAGGAATATGAAAGGAATGCGGATCCGCTCGGTTATATCCCCATAGGCCCACCTTCTCTAACATAATCGTAGAACTAGGGCACACGTATTATTTTCATTCATTTAGCTACTACAATCAGTTTTATCCTAATGTTACAAAAGTACTGATCTTTGAACGAAGATAGTACTACTCTAATGTGATGGAGGTCAATTTGTTCTCCTACTTTTCCCCCTTTCTACTTCCTCCTACGCGTTGGAAGACCTCAAAGTTGCTTAGCAGACTCATACCATTAAATATTTTCAGCTCATTACTTGCAGATATTTACAAAATAATCACTGTACAGAAGTTGAGGGGCATTAGTTCGAACACGTATAAAAATAATTTTATAAATATCTCGTTCACTATTAGGTTTACGAAGTATGATGGTCAGCACCTTTTTACTGAGAATTTTATACTCTATCGATCTATGGTTTAAAAAATAAGCCATTCCGTTAAAAAGAATCAAGGTAACCATGAAATCTTTGAAATGCCTCCACCCACAAGAAAAGCACGTACCTTATAAGATGTGCCCCTTGATGTCATTTAAGTTACACGCCTCGAAATTTTCATAAAGTGTACCGCTAAGTCATTATTCGAAATCATCGAGTTAGCTGAGACACTCTGTATGTAATAATTTCGAAATCACGTAGCTGCAATTCTAATGTCTACTAAGCCACCCTGTATCGAAGATTCTTCTCAAGGGAAAGATAAGGCCACACGCAAGATTCCGGGAACTACTTACAAAGAGATTTAATAACAATTTTAATCGATGACTATCTCTACGCGGTGATTCACATTTAGAAAACAACGATCAGTATCTTGCCAGGAACAACGTGAGAATATTAATTATTTTCAATGTCTTTCAATTTTATCGTTGGATCGACGTCACATCCGGACGTTTTGTAAATTTGTACAGAATCAGGGAAAGTTCTTCAGAATCGCAACTTCATATCTTATTAACTTTTGTCGCATGTTATGTTCACATTTAGATACGAATAATAATGATTAATATAAAGAGAAAATAATTATAAAAATAATATTGAAGAAAGTAATGTTGAAAACTGATATTGACTTTTTCTCTGCAATTCTGAAGTTTTTTTGTATTGATATACATTTTTATATTTCATTAGAGTACATTGATTAATTTCAGTAATTATAGACATTGTTAATAAAGTGGAATCAGATTAAAGATAATATTCAATTTGGGAATGAGACAGATTATATACATACTTTTAGATATAACCTTTAATATTAAGTATTTTCTAGGTGTATACAAGTGTTCGACAAACTTTTGGCCAGGGATATTGCGAATGGATGAAGTCAATGATAAAACTTTCTACAAAAACATTTTTTTACTTTCTCGGTTGTTTAAACATTTACGAATTCTTTATATACTGGAAAGGACTTATATTAAATGTGTTTTACTGCATAAGAAACATATTGCGTAAGTATTCGTTTCTTTTTATACCTGTAAATAAATTTTCTTTCTCGAAAAGTGCCTAATTTTATTCATTTGGCAGCACATTCCGTATACACTGAGAAAACTGTTGAATTCATTTTTCAAACTTTTCAACACGCAATGAGAGACAAAAGTAATACAGACATTGTTCGCAACAAATACGCAGAAAACAAAAATATAAAATTACTCTACTAATCTCTTCAAAACAACCGATAGTATAGAAACTTAACACCTTTTTATTTCCACACATTCTTACTATACATATATATGTATACGTTTGTCCATTGCTATAGAAAAATTCAATCCAATCTTCTTCAAATACCAAACAGAAAGAAGCGAAGTAATATTTTAAGACTTAGACTCTGAAGTTTACACAACTGATTCGAGTAAACAGTTCCTGGGGCACGTGTCTCCTCATTCAAAAAGTCACATTTTTCTTGTTAGTTTAATCAACGAAAAAATGGCAAGTACATATATAGTTTCTTATCTTTTACTCATTATACTGAAATACTCTATCTAGACAATGAATTCACTCGTCTCTGACTGCAGATTTACGATCTTAGGTACACAAAAGGTTCCATATAAACGGTTGGACGAAAAGGGGAAGGTGGATTAAGTGGTTATAAGGAAAAGGTGTATATACACATATGTATATAAGCACATTGGAAATTTCTTAATTTAAAATCGCCCGAATAATCGGTAAATTCCTAATAAGTCGTTCGAGAGTATCAAAACCGGACCGGTGACGAGCTGGGTACTAAACTGCCGTTTCGGTGTCGTCTCGGAACCGGGGAGACCCGTTACGGAAATAAAACCCGACACCCGTCGCACAGTTATATCCGCAATGTAATCGTTCCGGCGTGTATTTGCACGTGAATTCCCAATTTGCGAAACCACGGGGGATCACCGAACGCAACACGCGCATAGCCGGCAATATGCGAGCCGTGTGCGAGTGTCTTGTGTGTGCGTTATCGCGCACTCCGTTCGCCCCGATGATCTAATTCGATCGACGATCGTTTACCTATAAAAACACAACAGTTCACGTTCGACGCTATCAGTTCGCGGTCACACTGTGAAAGATACACGAGTCGCAGATTTTCTCAATCGACAACCATGAAATCGTTCGCCACCATTTGCCTCCTTCTCGCGGTCTTTTGCGCCGTCCAGGTAAGTGTTTGCAATTTTTAATTGATTCAATTCTCCTGAGATCATTTTCTTATTACCCTCTAATGTATCCAATTGTTTTTGAATTGCAGTAGAATCGCGTACATTGAAATATTTCTGTAATTTCTTAGAAAATTTGATTGAAATGAGTTTACTAATAATTCTATATCGCTACAATTATCATTAACCGCAGAGCATCGGTTGATTACAGAATCAATTAAACGTTGGAAGTTTAATCGATTAGTTTTATCATCGAATCGATGATATCAAATAATGCTCGGTGAAGATGCACATCCGCAGGAAACAGATTAGATAATTAATTAATTTCTTAATAAATTGCTAATTTTCTGTAGTACTCAGTGTATCAACAGTAAAGAGAACCACAATGAATCATAAAACATCGATTACTACAATGAAAGATTAAACGACAAAGTTCGTAATACCTCGGTAAAGTTCAACGACAATGCTTATCTTTTAGGCTGGCCCGTTGGATCAATTGAGACAAGGGATTCAAAATTCCAAAAATCAAGTTAATTCGATCACGTCGGACCTGAGACGTTTCCAAAGTAATCTGGATCGTACGACGAAAAACCAACTGAGCAACTATAAGCTTCAGAGCATGACGAACATAAATAACATTGTGAACCCAGCACTAAGTGATATTCGTGTAAGTACACATATTATACAAGAGATTATGTTAATTGAAACAAAGATTCCTGGTTTAATTTCAATTTATCAAGACCACAGTAGTCATCATTGTTGAACTTAATATTCATAAGGAGCTCGTAATGTTATTAGGCCAAAGTGGACGCTGCCAATGCCGCAGGAAAGGACGCCGAACACTGTTACACTGATGCTAAAGCTAACCTCAGGACTGCAAGCCAGACAGGGTTCTCAGAACTGAACAGATGCGAACAAAACGCGTTGCAAAGTCTTCAGCCACAATTTAACGCTCTCGACACGGCGGAAGCGGTATGTATCGTATAATAAATTGTATTACTGATATTTTATGGACCATGGTGTACTAAATATTCACACGAACTTATGATTAACTATCTTTCGTTTACGCTTTCAGACTGGAAATAAATATATCACGGAGCTGGACGCTGTCTTCCTCAATTGTTATTCGTCGGATATATTCGCAATGCAAACTTGCATCGCCTTAAAGTTGGGAAACATCAACCAATCCATTAGAGCGTACGAAAGTACGATCAACTCGATGAAAAACGATGTACAAAATGCCGCGAACAGGGCTGTCTTAGCGGCTAACTCTTGCAATATGGACGTTGTTTCGACAGTCCGTTCCAGTGGTACCGATGTGAGGATAACGGCGAACAGATGCACTAGCAACTAAACGAACCCGATAAAAGAACTTGTTGACTGATGTTCATTGTATTATTGGCATTTTTACGGCGCTACGAATGAAACGTAACTGATTTTTGTAACTCGTCCCTGTGCTCATACATATTCTGGACAATACTGATTGTACATTCCATTCAGTTCTTGACTTCTTCATTTTACTCTGTAATATTTACTGAATAAAATCGGTTGGCATACATCAATCAGTATGTTGACCCATCAAAAATCAAGTGAGTTCAAACGTTTTCCAAATCCTGCGCGATACTTCCTCACCTAGATTCTCAAAATGTTCATGTTTGGATAAAAACTGAATTAATAACACTGGGAATGATAACACAGTATCCACTTGCAGATACTCATTCATAATTTAATATATTTATGGATGTCTCTACTTTTCAACATAAATCATTTGGGAGAAACGACATTACTTTACAGAAATTATTTCACTGTTCACTTGTAAGATGAAAGGGAAAAAAACATGTATGAATTATCCACAAATCAACACTTTGAACTGACCATTAGACTTCATCGTGAATTAAGTTCTATGTACACTGACGTGCAAACTTGGCTTCCGCTAGGGGAAACAGTGGCGTAAGAGAAAGGCCACCTACCGCTTGGTACATTTCTTTCAAGTACTGAAATAAATGTTAAATTGAATGTTAATTTGACATAAATTTCAATAATTCCCGAGACCAAGTGATAGAAGGTCCTTCTCCTGCATTGCTTTTTCTCCTAGCGGAAGCTGAGTTTGATCGTGAGGGTACAATGGGCAGTATCCAACCCCAAACACACTAAAAGTTTATAGCTTTTTCAGCAACCAACTATATGGTGGATATTATTTAACTTTGTATTCAATAAACTGAAAAAGGTTGATGTTTGATGAATGCAAACATTCGCATCTGTATTTAGCATTGGGAAGAAGTTTCCTAAATTCGTCGTTAGATGGTTACCAACTGTAGCTCATTCTCAAAAGTTCTTCAACATTAAACTCCTTTAACTAATAATATAAATATTGCTGTAATTAATTCCACAATAAAAATATATAGAAGTAAAACATAATTCTATGAGCATTACTTATAAAAAAGCAATATACTCATTAACACGTAAATTAAAATGACCAAATTGTGTAGGGGGAGCAACTATGTTGACGAACTTGAGTAACCAATGGATTCTGTTGCAACTATATAAATCTTATTGCTATCACTATTATTATATGAATCCTCTTCTAACGATTTTGAAAACTGAACACCCTGTCTAATTTAAATGTAATTAAAAGCTATATAGTTTTAAGTAAAATTGATGATTATCTGGGAAAGTACTTTACTTTTCTCTTAATGTAGATTATTCAGTAGCCTGCAGGGTGATTTTATTAATCTTACAATTTTAAATATGGAGAACATAAGTTAGTCGCAGACATCTGTGGGTTTGCATAATATCAAACACTCAGGACTATAATGAGAAAAATATAATAGACTGAGTTACTACATCTTGAACCCCTTTGTAGCTATTTGTACTAAGAAATACTGAAGTATTTAGTCTTTTATAGTTATCAATCAAAGAGATATCTCTAATTCATGTATGTCTGTAAATGAATGTAATTTATTCTCTATAAAGGCGTGTGTGTATACGTATATTTGACATTAACCGTAAAAATTTGTTTAAAACTTAACAAAGGCCGTGTAATATACATGATATTAATATAAAATATTCTATACGCATTTTATAATCTACTCATAGATATCCTTAGCTCAACATTCACATATACTCGTATATGCATATACGTATATGTATATATATATATCGTATATCATACATATGTATATATAATAATGTATATACTACATATACATTTTTTTGGATTCCATTTAAATAAATAGTCGGTTTAAAAAAGCGATGAAGATTGCTTTGTGTAAAATCGAATATACTTTCTTACATTCGTACAAGGGTAAATAGTCAATTTACATATCAGTTGGAACGTAACAACATATTGAAAAACTCTTCAATAAAACCATACCGTATTACAGCTAGCTTCTTAGTTGAAAAAAACTATTTCCTATATTATTTTTCACATTTCGCTAAATTCGTGCTAATTCAGTTATATTTTTTAGTCTTATACACTACTTCATACAGGGTTGCTAGATTTGCTACCTATCTTAACAGACACTCGTCTCAATAACAATATAGACATCGAACCACAATAGGGATAGTCTTATACTTTTTTTCCTTCAGGTCATCGCACGATAATTCTCCGTGACACGGACATATCAGCGAATTAATTCGACCAGCTCGTAATTTTTCTGCAATAAATGTATTTTTCTCTTTGAAATTTTTTTTGTTGTTTCAGTTCACTTAAAACTAGGATTAGCAATAGTAGTTTTATAGCAGCAGCAGCAGCAATAATAATATTTATAGTATCTATCGTTAACATATTTTGATAAAATTATATTAATAGTTATAGTTATAATCGTCATGATCATGATCATCATTTATATACATATATAATTACGTATATATGCGCACATATATGACAATGCATCTTATAGCAGACCGAGACTGCATAGTCATAAATGTACGCACATGTTACACGTGCTAAACCTTTCAATAATAAATCTTATAGGTATGCATCAATTCAGCTCACGCAATTTTTTTTGCTCTATATGGTTCAGGATCGTGGCTTAGATTTAAAATTATAAATTTAAATATGGAAGTGATCGTCAGCACCGCGTCGCATATATTTTTCAACAACTAATTGAAGTAGCTGTATTTTTATAAATCTACTGATTATGTAGAACATATTAAATCAAAGTCTAATAAAATATCTATATCGCAAAAATTCTTTAAATGAATATTCTTGTTAAAAAGTTACATTATTTTTTACAAAATTAATAATTTTATTTATATGATATATGTTGTGACATTAAAATGGAAAATAAGCAGAAATTAATAAAATTAAAAATACTTTGTAGAAACTACTCAATTGTTTTCATATGTCGGATGATATGCCAAAGAGATAAAGGTTTTAAACAATTTCTGACAAATGCTACTTACATCCAAATAAATTTTGTGAAATTAACACTTGCTGAAAATTCTTGCACGTGGCCCTGAACTCTCACGTAAAGATGGAATTCCGAAATAGAAGAAAATACTAGTGTACAAGTATATAGTGTGGGCCGATTGAAAACACAGAATTACAAGTTAGCCAACTAGTGAATTGTTTTAAGATAGAAAACCTATTCAGATAACTCAGCAACTAATTCAGCTAACCTTTTAAGATAGAAACAGCCGTGAAAATTCACAATAAATTACTGTTATGTTGTTAAAACTGTAACCATATTCAGAGGTAGTTGGAGGATAGTTAATAAATTTTGATTCAGATAATTTCCGTTTCATTGAACGAGGAACGTCCAAGACATAATCAAATGTGTCTACCCACAGATCTTAAATCATATTTTGGAGCTTTTCTATAAATGCGATTGTACTTAGTAACTCATGAGCAAACTCTTTTGCGACGATCTAATTGTTACGCTGAGTTTTGTGTTCCCGACCAATGAATTTTCCTTTCGACATAACCATTTATGTCTATGGTGGTTCGAAAACATCATAAGATCATTCCACGATGAAGACCGTCAACAATGAGTTATAAAGATGCAATTGAAAAGGGCAGCTCATACTGTTCGCCATACCCAATGAGAGAGCATTATAATATTTAGAAATGATGTGTTCAACATATTGCTTGACTGACCAAACACATTAATTTGGACAATCAAGTACAACACAAACACACAATACAAAATACAACATAGTCTCTTATGCAAGGAAGTTAAATGGATGCTCCTGAATCCAACACTTTCGGATATTGCTGTTAGAAATATGTTTTGTGTGAATCATTACATATTATTTTTGTATAATTCCAATAAAAATGTTTAAATTGTGTAAACATTTTTCATCCTACTTTAAATGAAAGCTAAAATAACCAAGGAGCATACCTGAAACTTCCAAAACATATGAAGCTCAATGTAATATTTTCAAAATGCGCAGGTACGCGAATGTACGATCTGACCTGTACATCTATGTGCTTGTCCAAAGTTCTCATTATTCCAAGACCTAGCAGGCACATGAATCACCCTTGCCATTGTTTCTTTGGTCATTGGTCAGTTTAATTTGGTCTGGGAATTCATTATACAATTCCACCTAAAATAATAGCATGTTTGTATATTACACTATCTAACAAATATGAAACTCATGCGAATATAAGAAGTAAAATTATTTATACGTAACTTACTTCACTTTCCTGAGCTAGAGCATTCTTTGCTATCGTCTGAAAGGCTTGTTCAACATTAATGGCCTCTTTAGCACTTGTTTCAAAGTATGGAATATTATTTTTAGACTGACACCATTGTTGTGCTCTCTTACTAGAAACCTGGAATTTGAAGAAATAAAAATTGAATACTATAATCATAGGAATAAATAATAGTAGTATTACATGAAATTATGCAATAACATATAGTATTTAAATCATCAAATTTAATCTAAATATCCTTACCGATTTGGATTCTAAATCAACTTTATTCCCAAGTACAACAAAGGGAAAGTTGTCTGGATCTCGAGGAGAAGACTGAATTAAGAATTCATCCCTCCATGAATCTAATGATTTGAAGCTACTTGGTGCAGAAACATCAAACACAAGAACACAACAGTCAGCGCCTCTATAAAAAGCTACACCTAAAGACTGAAACCTTTCTTGACCTGCTGTATCCCAAATCTACTCAAGAATGGAAAATGTTAACAAATAATTGATACAAAATGTAATATGCACAAGTAACATTCTATAAAGATTGTATATATTTACCTGCAAAGTAACTATCCTATCATCTACCATAACTTCTTTGGTCAGAAAATCGGCTCCTATGGTAGCTTTATATTGATTGCTAAATTTCTTGTTTACATATTGATTCATCAGAGAGGTTTTACCAACTCCAGAATCTCCCAGAATAATAACCTTAAGCAATACTTTCTTACGAGAAGCCATTGTGGACTAAAAATAAATAAAACTCTTATTTGCCACAAATTCTGTTAAACAATCATAAGAGAAGCAAACATATATTTATTTCTAATACTGTAGCCAATGCTTCATCGTAGAAATATTATATAAAGATAATGTTAAAATATATAGTCATGAATCAGAGTCATAGCCCCTATAATCAAACTCACATTGCACATTCAAATAACAGATAAGAACCAAATGCAAATAACACAATTAATGTATGTATTGGATGAATCATTATTGAACACAGAAATTTGCTTAATCAGTTTTACCAAGAAGAAGACATGAGAATCTGATCTATACTATGGAAGAAAAAAGCTCGACATTTCATAAAATGGTAATTACAACTGAAACATTTCGATGTCGAATAATTTCTACGCCGTTAGATAAATATCGTGTTAGAATACAACAGCTTCATGTGCACAAACACGGTGTAAAACGATTCGAGAGCTGGATAATGGTCAGAGTATTACAAATGCATGACTTTTTTCGTGAATCATTGAACGTAAATGGAAAAAGTAGTTCCCTTGTAATGACGTATGTACATTACTCGAGAAAAAATCATCGTACGAAGATGCTTCGAATACATTTTTTGGCGGTTAACGTCTACAATTATTCCTGCGATATTGTTATGAAAACAGAATGCACCACGAAAGTTTTATATGGGCTAAGTTGAAAGGATAACGCGACGTACGTGATCGAACAGAGACAAAATAGAATCCGTTTAACTGCGATGCTTGAAAACCTGTCAACATGCGATCTCGACAATTGAGATTTACTAGGACGATTAGATGAGAGCCCTTAAAAACGTACATGACGCTCATCGTGAAATATAGATGACAATTCATAGAAAAAGAAAATGTCAATTGTAATTTACGTTACCTTGATTTTGGTAGAAAACAGTGAGGGAAATTTTCCTGTATCAGCACTTCACACAAAGAAAATGGCGTGTTATGAAATCACGAGTATGACAACGATGTCGTCACCTGTTCCTCGCCACTGTTATCGACCGAGTACGATAACACTCGATTGTCGAAATCGATTTTCTTAGTCGATATACTTAGTTTCGATTAAAAGGGGAGCAACATTTGAAACTTACTTCATGTACTCCCGCTGTTTATTAAGTACAAATTTTATGCATTTATAGCATAAATAACTATGTAAAATATAGGTAAACAAAACCCTTAATGAAGAATAATCAAATTTTTTATATATTTTATTAGAGCTCCAATAAAACTTCGATTTCGATAGGATTTAACGAACACCATACCGAAACCGATGGTAATACATAACAGTTTTTTGGCCAGTCACAGAATGTTAACTCAGTTCGAAAAACATTAATTTTTCTTTTATTTTCTGACACATGGTGAAAGAAATATACATCCATACCTTTTTAAATATATTGAAAAAATAAAGGTAAACTATCGGGGTTTTATAAAAATATAACATTTTACAAAATACAGGACATGTACTATATGTGTATATAAGTTACTGTTAATCAAACACTATGTGGAAAACTAAAAGTGTAAATTCCACACGACAAAAACAATAAAAAAATAATTTTTTAATTTAAACGTTCAGAGTTTGTTATGTTAGACGTATAGCTTTAAACATTTAAATGGCATCTGAAATTTCCACTGTTACGAGTAATGTTCGTTCTGTTGTTGTCATAATTTTCTTGGTGTTAAATTAAACAAAATAATGGAATTACAAATTAAAGTTAAATCTCTTCTTTGACGGTCTAGTTTCAGTATGATCATCACTGTCAGTCTCCATATTATATCTCCTTTTCTTATGTGAATTACCGTTATACGATTTTCCCTGTGAAGTGGTCTCTGACTTATCCCGTGACTTCGGCATACTGGTCTCTTCGTCGGATGATACATCTTCTTTTATAGCAACTGTATCAAATTGATCTTGACTTCCCACTTGACAATGCCTGACTGCGGTGTATCCACTGAAGAATACATAAAGGAATAATCACACATACTACATGTAACATATCTGTTAACATACATTTCTTAAGAACATACTTATTTTTCCGATAAAGTTCATAAAAGCCTTTATTGTTATTTAATTCAGCCAATCTGAATAAAAACTTCTCATCGTGGCTGATTACAATTAGTTGAAAATTCTTCTGATGCTGTGATCGCAACCTGACAACCCTGTAATACAAACAGACGTTAAAACTGTAAGTATTCAATGAAATTGATTTCAATAATAATGCTTGGAACACACATGGCCAATGCACTAGCCAAACTATATGCATTTTCTTGATCTAAATTTGTTGTTGGTTCATCTAACGCCAGAATTCCGCAATCTTTACAGAAAGTTTCTGCTAAAGCTAGCCTTATAATTATGGATGCTAGAACCTGAAATGTGATGTTTATAAATTAACAAATTTACTACTTTTCAATAGCTAGATTGTTATAGAACAGAATTTACTTTTTGACCAGCACTACAACGACCTTTCATGTCAATTTCACGACCATGTTTTAGTTGAACCAGTTTATAATTAAATGTTCTTTTTGCAGTACCCACACCTTCGGTAGCATTCGTGCGAATTTCTATAGACGTTGTATCTGTTCCAGTGTATACGAGCTTCCACATTTCTTTCATAATTTTATTAATTGTTAACATACGCTCCTCGTGATATCTGATCATGGCAGTATCTAATACATTACTATATTCTTTTAAATTTAATATGGTTTCTTGTACTACCTGAGTTATATTAATACCATATTATCGAATAAATAATAGACATAAAATATATTGTCATAAACTAGGCAGTTGATACGTTACCACTAATTCAATGCACTTGGTCTTATATTGTTTTCGAGCTTGTTTATATATATCCGTGTCCAAATCTTTTGTATATTGATCAACTTGCCTTTCTAATTCTTCTTGATTACCCTTGGTCATGTTTTTCTAAACATATTTTGGAATTACACATGTATAAAATAACATTTGTTGTAGAATATAAGGAAGCATTGTTGTAGGCATTTCTAAACCAAGAAGAGTATATCTACTCACTACTTTGCTATAAAAAACAAGACAAATTACATGTTTGGCCAAAAAATGTCTACAATTCTGCAGTTCATTATAAATCATAATTTTTTATTATAATTATACTATTTTATTTCAACCTACATAATTCAACTATTTTTAAATAAACAACTATTCTAAATTTACTGAAAAATGTTACCTCCCGCAGCAGAGCTTCTTCTCGATCTTGCAAGCTTCTCCATTCTTCCCGTACTTGAGTATAATTTATAGTGGCCAGTTTGTCTCTTAAAATTGTACACTGTCGCTGTAAATTTTTAGTGGTTTCAGAAGCTTCGCGTAACAGAATGTTATCAGATAAATTCCTTTTCCGGAGATCCTGACGAGTAATGTCTTCTTTCAATTTATTTATCGTTATTTCGATATCGCTTTTTTCACTCTGAAGATCATTACTCGAGCTTTGATATTTTTGTATTTTGAGTTCAGACTGCTCCAAAGCTTCAGGAATATTGCGGAACACAAATGTATCGACATCATCTTGTACTTTTTGTAATTCAGATAAACGTCTGCTTCCTTCTGCCAATAATTTTCTATCAACTTCCTGTTTCTCCCAATTTTCTTTCTTCTTCTTTTCCAACTTCTCAATTCCTGAATTTAAGTTACTCTCCGCTGCAATCACTTTTTGCTTCAAAGCATCGACTGATTTCCCAAGCGAAACCTCCTTCAAGAATAATGTTTCCTGTTTTTCCTTTAACTGTTTCAATTTTTCCACACCTGAACGTATTCTTAATTGTTCTTCATGCAATGCGTTTAGCTCTTCCCGAGCGTTATGCGTTTTTTCATTGTGCGCATTTATCGCGGATTGTAAATTTTCAATGTCATCACGAATAGTTTTTGAAGACACATTCAACTCATCTCTTTGACGTTGAGCTTCTTGAAGACTACGTTCCGATTTAATACCTATATGTATAAAAATATTTGTTACAAAACATCCATAAAACTTCCTGTAAATAAAGTTGTTAATGTACCTGCGTTAAGCATGCGAGTTTGAAAACTATCAATGGTTTCTTTAAGTTTGGAAATTTCATCAATGTATCTGTCCCATAATATAACATCACCCATGATATTTTGCATCACTGTTAATCTCTTTTCGGGATCAGATTTCTTTTCTTTCAGGTCTGTTATGCACATTCGTAACTTTGTTAATTTGGCTTTAGATTTTTCTAAATTATTCCTACAAATTGTCGGATAAATTACTAAGAAGAGTTTTTAACAGAAGAGAAGCTGAAGTAGTTAGAAAATAAAAACATGTTTACTGTAACTTGTCCAACTCATTTTCTTGTAAGTGTATTATTTTTTCAACCACTGGTTTCAATTGTAACATCTTATCATATTTTTCTTGCTGCACTTTCAATTCTGCTTCACATTCTTTTAAACGATTTGGATGATTTTCCATTTCATTTTGCATTTCTTTTAATAAGTTCTCAACAGTTTGACGTTCGTCAAAGCCTCTGTGACATAAAGGACAACAAGGATTTGTTTCTTTCAGTTGTTTCATGTACTCCTTGTAAGCAACTCCTTGATGAGCATATATTCCCCTTTTGTCTTGTAAGTCTTTCACTTTCCTAGATTGTAATAACAAAGTTTCATCAAAGTTTTTGTAACTACAAATCAATGAAATCTTTGCCTGATCGCCTGAAAAATAAAAATTTATCATTAATGATTAATTTTTCTTTTAACACTTACAAATAGTAACTTTTAACTTACTCTCTATTTCTTTTTTTCTTTTCTGAAGTTCCTCTTCGGTATGCAACATTGTTGTTTGTACTGTTGTTTCATGATGTTCTTCTGTTTGCATTTCTCGTTTAATAGATTCAATTTGATTCGTCTAAAAAATTAATGAAGTTAGTAACATTAATGTGAACGATAAATTATAGACCTTTATATAATAACTTTTATTTTTAAGTACCAATTCTTTCTGAGCTCTATCTAACTTCTGTTTTAATTTCACTTGTGTTAATTCTTTAATATCCAATAAGTTTTTTATTGTTTCTTCATGTTTATCTTTCAGCTTTTGTAATTCTGTTTCTTTTGTTAGTAATGAAGATTTATGTAACTCTAATTCAGTTTGATGAGCACTTTGTTTTAACAATGAGGTTATTTCCTCATCAACAGTCTTTAAAAGTGCTTCTGTTTCATTTCTTGCTTCTATCTTAGAATTTACTTCTTGCCTTGCGGCATTTACATCCATAACTTCGCTCAATTGTTGAATTTTATTTTTTGCTACATCCATTTTAGCTTCTATAGAGTTCAACTTTTTTGCTGTAGCGCCAAGCTTAAAATGAAATAGAAATTAATTATACTAAGAAATACAATACATACCACATAGCAGTTGCATTATTACCTGCATGATCTCCAATTTTATTTGATTAATTTCATCCCTCGCCTCAACTACTTCATTTTCTTTCAAATTCTTTTCCGATTGTATTCTTGAATATTCACTGCGCAAAACATCTACTTCTTTTTGCAATTCCTTCTCCTCTCCTCCTCTTCTTACTCTATTGTCTTCCACATTAACCTCTAACTCTTGCAGTTTCTCTTGTAATCTTTTGAAAACAGCTAAAATTTCTGCAAAATAGAAAGATTATAAATGTAAGCTTAACATGAATGAGTATTTATTTTTCACTATTTAAAATATAGTTAAATTCAAACCTAGTTCAGACCCACTGGAATCTACAGTGTCAAGATTCCAAGCAGATAACGTCTCATTTAATATTTTATGGCGAAGAATAACTTTTCTTTCCTGATCTTTAATCTGTTGTTTCAAAGAACCACAGGTAACTCTTTCATCAGCTAATAAATTTGATATCTTGTATTCTTCTTTAGCAATATCCTTCAATCTTGTTTCCGACTAAATATTGTAAAAGTGGATGTGAATCAAAGTTCAAAAGATCATTATTAATTAAACAAAAAATATTATACCTTTCTTATTTCATGAGTTTTCCCATGTAATTTTTTATCGTATGATTCTATCTGTGCCAATAATTCTTTCATTGTTCCCTCAAACACTTCTTCTATACTATCTTGTAATCTTGTTAGTTGTTGTTTAGACAATTCATATTCTGTCCTTTTGTTCTCTGAAACAAAGTTGAACTTACAAACACACAAGTACAATTACAAAAAGTATTCTTATCAATATTATAAAAGAATTACTTTCATCAGCTTCTAAATTTTTGTAATCACTATCTTTTTTTGCCAGATTTCTAATTTTCTGACTTATGGGTTCTAGATCTCTGTCAATTTCTTCTATTTTTGCTTTAGAAGTTTCCAATCGCTTTTTATGATCTTCAAGTTTCTTTTCTTTGTCCATTACTTCAGAAACAACTTGTAGAGAAGTACGTTTTTGCTCTTTCAATAACTGTACCTTTTGGAGTAATTCTTTAATGTACTTCATAAGGCTCTCAAGGGCTTTATTAAATCTAGCACTATCAAAGATTTCATCAAACTTTTCTTTCAATTTTTTCCCATCATGAAATGGCCAATTGAGATCCTCTTGGTGACAAAATATAACATATTCCAAAATTGGTTTTGAAATACCCATTGCTAATGTGAGCTCTGTGTCAACATTACCGCATCGATTGGTGATTGATACCATCTCCTTTGAACCTTTATCAATTCTACTTAAGGCATTATCAAGAGTTTTGAATTTAAGTTTTCCACTTGCTTTTGAAGATTCTATTGTTCTGGATATAATGTAAATATTACCCTCTGTACCAACTATCTCAGCTTTTACAACACCTCGAACCTATAATACATTAAGGTGTTTATTAACTTTTAATCGTATTACAACAGTTGTTTACATTTTCCTTTACATAAATATGTAGTGCTTTCTATTAATACAATATGAAAAGTATGTAAAATAACAATAGATAATAATACCGAGGACATCCCTGTTAGAGAGGGATCATGGACAAAGAATTTTCCCTTGTCGGAGTTGGGTGGAAATTCGCCGCAAGTAGCAAACTTAAGGGCCTCAATAATTGTCGTTTTTCCAGTGCCATTTGGACCAAGAATAAGTGTTAGTGGTCGAGAAAATCGAATTGTAGCTTCGTCGGTGTCGTCACCAAAATTACGAATACCTCGTATGGAAAGTCTCCTTATACGTGACATCGTTTCAAACGTGTAAGCGCAGCTTTGATCATATCACAATAATATGCAACACTGCACAACAGAGATAATATATTGAGGACGAACATTTAATAGATACGAAATAAAGGTGGTACCTACATCTCGTTGAAATGAGTTAAGTTCAGTCACCGATGAGGTATCCTATTCGGTGGTTCAGATAAGATTGAATTATTCACTCTAACTTCAAAATGCTTCAAATCCGCGCGAATGAAGTTAATATGAGCTGCCATAAACTAACGTATACTATGAAAAGAAACAGCACAAATTGTTAAAGAACACTTTGCTGCATAGTCATAGACATATTGTAGTATATAGATACGTATATATGACGATATATATATAGATTCAAAGGATTCAAAGAATGTTTATCCGGGTGTGGAGTGTCTGAGACACAACCATTAAATTTGAACTTTAAACTCGCAATGAATATCTAAAAAGGGTAAATTTCATAATTTTCTAAATGAAAGCAAAGCGAATATGTCGATTTTCAATTTAACGACATGCAGAACAATACAGTTTCTATCTACATTCAAGAAATTTGAAAATGTATTATTGTCAGCTGTTACAATAAAAACACAAAGTCAATGTTACGGTCCTAATGGACAATCTGGTCAAATACCTAAAAGTGGTCCATGGAATGTATTATTTTTTGGCACAAACGAATTTGGAGCAGAAAGCTTAAAAGCTTTATATAATAAATAGTAAGAAATATTTATATTTCATATAAAATTAAGATCTCTGGGCTTGCTATTTATGATTTTAATGCTATCCAATGTTTTGTTTAGTGAGACTCAAGTTGTGCAACGATTGGAGGTAGTTACTCTGAATACAGGCAGAGAGGATGCAGTTATAAAATATGCAAAGGAGAAAGGAATTGTTATAAATAATTGGCCTCTTGAAACGAATATGTCCAACTTTCATATTGGTATAGTTGTTTCATTTGGTCGTTTAATTCCAACTAAGATTATAAAATTATTCCCACTGTAAATTATTTTCTATCTGCAATAATATGGAATTTATTACATCACATTGGTAAATTAATGTATTTTTGATATTGTTATATAGTGGTATGTTAAATGTCCATGGTAGTTTATTACCAAAATGGAGAGGAGCAGCACCAATAATTTATTCATTAATAAATGGAGATCATCAAACAGGAATAACAATAATGAAGATAAAGCCAAAGAAGTAAATATAACTTTTAACCTTATAAATTCCTAGTTCTACTTTAAGGGTTCACACCATCTTGACTAGAATGAAAGAAATGACATACATGTAGTTTGCTTCATATATAATTCTCACTTTGGCAGTACCTGAAAGCTGAACTACATACAAACTTCTAATTTTTTTTAGATATCTTACAATCTCTGCCATATGATGTACATATTCATTTTTACTATAATAACTTCAATAATTTTTATTTTACACTCAACCAGGAAACTTTGATTCATAATACAGGTCTTTCTTAGATGTTCAAGTGTCTTGATTTGGTGTTTTTCATTGCTTTTTAGCAAGTCTACTTGTTTAGCTACAGATCGAGTTTCAGGACTGATACTCAAGCTTGGGATATACATTATTTTGCAGTACTGACTGGATGGCATTGATTGAAAATACAAGCTAGTATGTATCATGTCATTTTACTTGTTTTCAATCCACTGAAGAATGATTTTAGAGTTGTCTTCCATATAAGAGCAATATATTCATTGTACTTTGAATGAATTGTCTTAAAAATGACAAAGTTACACTAGAACCATTTGCACAGCATATTTATGGATTAAAATTAAAATTTATGGAAAAAAATTGTTCAATTTTTGAAGTACTCAAGGTGGTGTACCCAGTAAGTAAGAAATACATTACTACAGGTCAGCATATTAACAATAATTTTCGACATTGCAGTAAAAAAATATATAATGTAAACTATAATTTTAGATTTGACACAGGAGAAATAGTCCTACAAAAACAAATTAATATAAGCGAGCATGAAACATTACCTGAGTTGTATACTAAATTGGCAAAACTTGGAGCAGATGCATTAACAGAAATATTTGAGGATCTATCACAAGCGTTGCAATTTACAAAGCCTCAAAATGAAGTAGACGCAACATATGGTAAACGCACTTGACTTTGATTGATTCAGTTAATTAATAAAACATAAGCTACAAATTTTTAAGTTGCATTATGTTTCTTAGCGCCAAAAATAACATCGAGCATAGCTTTAGTTAAATGGGATGAAATGTCTGCAAAAATTGTTTATAACTTACATCGTGCTCTGTTAGGATTATATCCATTAAGTACAAAATTTCAGGATAAAACAGTAAAATTACATGATATTACGATAGCTGAAGAATCGATTACAAGGAAACTTGACGGAGAAATGCCAGGTAAAAATATAGTTTTGCATAAGTTGCTTAATGCCGTGTGATAGGGTATTAAAGCATTATGGATAGAATATTTAGAATTTATTTTCTATACTTCATAAAAAACTGTATCTTTGCAGGAACAGTAATATATGATAGAATAAGTGATGCATTAATTATAAAGTGTGCAGGAAACAGTTGTATTTCTGTAAAGAAACTAATTATTCAAGGTAAATCTGTTATGAAGGCACGAGATTTTAATAATGGTTTCATAGCTGGAAAGAAAGAATCGAAAATATTTTTTTCGTAGTGAGTAACTAATTCTGAAATTTAATTTATTGAAATAAAATTGAATTATAATGGAATGTAATAAAACTAGTGTAAATATTTTAAGATACTGAAATTCATAACATATACCTAATTTTTCTGAGAAATAAACAATTGTTATACTTAACTTCTTTCTTACCTTTATAAACATACACGCACCCAGAATTCTTGAATCATGGACTACCTTAATATTTATAGAGACATAGAAACCATATCAAGTTAAGTAGAAAAATCAACTGAAAATAAATACTGAAAACTTAATGGAATACAAGAATTCTAAAATATATTTAAAAATAAAATTTACAGTACATATTTTCAGGAGGTTTTTTGTTTTGTTTGACGAGGAATTGTATCTATATTCTTTATATTTTACAAAAAACATAATGACATTCAATGTCTTAATTTATTTAAACGTAGAATTATAGCTGCAGACATAAAATTGTTGATATTAAGTCTCAGTTTCAGAGGCCTGAAATAAAAGAAATATTTTTACTATTATAGATTCTTTCTTTTATTTAATTATTTTAGCATCAATATATATGCCTAGTGACAATTTCCGATCAAAGACAAAATTAACTATAAATAAGTTTTAAAGCTAATTGTTACTTTGGCCTGCCTCAAAATTATAGGAAGTGTAGTTGTATTATCCATCTTTTACGAAGAATTGTTCCCATTTTCTTATAAAAGTGAGATTTTAATTATTTTTTTTTCGTATTAATAACTAATTGCCTTTCGATATTTCGTAAATGGAACGTTGAATTCGATAATTCAATAAATAAAGATGGCACAGCTCTTACTGAAAATAAGTAGTTAATGTTAGCAACTAGTTATTAATAAGATTGTTCGTTCTACGGTTAAGATTATTTCGAGAACTGGTGATTTCCATGTGCATTAACATTAAAAGTACTTTTATATTTTGTCATGCATTCGTTGTTATCGAATACTGACGTTCACGCGTGTAAACTCGTATCTTACAGATGAACACTATTTGCAATTGCATATCTTTTTGTTACGACCAAATAAAAAGTACCTTTCTTTAATTGTGCAATGGATGCAAATAATAAATAATATTTAACTTACACTAGGATCGCAGTCTGCACAATGCCACGAATAGCCTCTTCTTTTGGGCGACTTTTTAACTGGCGGATCGAGACAGGTGAAGTGGTAGCATTTTTTACATTCATCACACCTGAGATGTGAAAAGTAGTAATGTCATGATTTTAGAACATACTTAAAAGTTCAATGTATGATATGTTTGTGCAAACTAACATGACAAGATTTTGACTGGTGCCAGGCATATCACAGACATTACAATGGGTTAAAAGGTCTGTGTCTTTCCCTCTTTTTCCGTTTCCCGTGGATGCTCTATTACTTGTACTATTAGTAGTTGCGTTTGTCGTAACAGGCGTAGGTGTTGGAACTAGAGGTGGTGCAGGTGGTACAGGTGGTGCAGGTGGGGGTGGTAGTTTAGGTGGCGGCGGAGATGTGATTTCAGTACTGGTCGATGTGGCAACAAACAACATTTGTGGACTTGATTCAGAAGCTGCTTCTCCCTCTGGTCTTGGAATCGGTTTTATCTATTGAAAAAACGAAGTAACAGTTATTCATTTTATATTTCAAATGAAAGGAGTTTAAAAGATAATATCAGTAATACAACAGAATAATTAAAAAGTATACCTTTATAGTTATTCTTCTATGAACTTCTGGTTGACTTTGTCCTTCTGGATTTTCCACATCGAGACTTTTCCTTTTATGCTTCCGTTTTCTTTGTTTTATTCCCGTAATTGGATCTGGAGTGTACCTTTTGTGCTTCTCCCTGGTAAAGGGAAAACAGATTTTATATCTTTTATTCGTGTACAAAATCGCGTAACGAACCTTCTCCTCTTCTTTGCACTCCTTTGTGAAACAGACTCTGTACCATCTGCTGAAGCGACCATATACTCTGGTGATCCTTCCCTCGTTGGTATTGTCACATTATTAATAGATTGCTGATTGTATACTAGTTCTCCTGATTGAACGGGAGTTGAAGATAGAGGTTGTGGCCCCACTGGTTTTATAGTTACCTGTATATATTTAAAAACATAATATTGTATTGCGTACATTACAATAATGAAAAGAGAATGCTATACTAAGCGGTAATTACCTTTGGTGTTGTAGGTGTATCAGGAGCGGTGACATTTGTTACACTACTAAGGTTACCGGAAGAATTTTTCGAGGTGCTTGGCGTCGTTGGTGTTGTAGGCGCTTGCATCTCTTGCGGTGGTGTTGGTGTTGATGTTAAGTTAGAATCATCCTTACAATGTCTAAGTTTACGTGGGGCTGATGTATCGACACGTTCCACCTCTGATCCAGAAGATTCTTTATCACATTCCGAACACTGCCTGTGTTAAACAATGAATTATACACATTTAAGCATAATGCAAAAATATTTCCACAAAAGCATTAGAAGTATACACAATATTATTAATATACATACCATCCCATGAGTTTTGTTTTTTTGGGCATACGTGACAGAGGTGGACTAAGACAAGATAAATGGTAATGAAGATGACACGTGTCGCATTTTGCAAGAAGATGCTGGTTCGTAGATCTTCTACATATCCCACATTGATGCCTTAATGTCAGTTCACCTTTATGATTCTGATCTTGTGCCTGACTACTTAACACCCTACCTTCGCGTATTCCTTCTATTCCTTTACCAACTGGTAGAGGAAAGCCAACGCCCATTTTTAAGGCAGCTGCAGTCGGTACGCCTAAACCTGTGCCTATTAAAAAGTATGATACATTCGTATGTTATAAGTACATAATACTGTAACTTTAGCTCTACCTAGAGTTGGTGTTATCCTTGGCTTTGACAAGTCAGATATTTGCGGTAAAGATTTGGCATAACCGCTATTTTGCAGGACTTGATGATACATTTCAATCTTCTCTTTTAATGTTACATTAACGCGAATTTGTTCCTCGTTGTCTTTCATCACCTCGTCATACTTTCTGTCTAACCTTTGCTGTTCATTCAGTAATTGCGAATTGACATCAAGAAGCTCTTGCAGCCTTCTTTTCATAGACGTTACTCGCAAATTACGGTCTAAATAATAACCGATAAATTCTACACTGAAAGCAGGCGGTATATGCCATTTTTTCCTAACATCGACTAAAGCTACCAGTTGTGCTTCCTGTGCTTCTAATGCAGCTGTATCAACGCCCATGAGTTCTGCTTTTCTAGCCAATTGTCGACAAGCAGAAGCGGATGTTGTTAATAACCGAGGCATTTTCTGGGTTGGCACTGAAAGTAAAGCAGATATTTTTTATTAGATTTGACAACATTCTTATTATATTTTATGTAAATGACTTACCCCATGGCGGTGGTCGAGACGCTTTATGAGCCAAATATTTATGTCTATGTTTTGCTAATTTTCTTTGAATTCTACGCTGTTCTTCAGTATCTAAGTGGTTAGGTTGTTTTAATAACTGTTGTCGATACTGAGCACGTAATTGCAGAGCTAACCAATTGCGTCTACGTCTACGGACGAGAGTTTTATCGGAATGAAGTTTACAGTGTGCATAGAATGGATCGGCTTGATCAACTTCTTCGCTATGAGCTTCAGATAATAAACCTTCTCTTTGTGCGCTATAACAGAAACAACATTGTACTTTTAATTTTTTAATCAATATTTCGTTAAATGCTATACATATATGTGAAATGACGTGTCTTACCAAGTAACGTGAAAATATGTGTGACACATTCCTGCATCACATTCTATACATACACCAGTTCGAGCAAAACGCGCATCTTCGCATAAAGAGCACTGCTTTGCCCCCCATTTGCTATATGCCATTTCGAAAAGTGTTACACTTGATAAACGATCGACCTAGGGTAATTATGAACAGATATAAAGATAAATATTTTAAAATGTTCTTGCTTTATGTATAACTGAAATAAAAACCTTCCATACTTCTCCAAAAGCAACACCGGGTACATAAAGTGCACATACTAAATGAACCCATTTGCCTACATCAGTCTCTTTAAAAATTCCACCCTTGTTTGGACAGAGTTCACAAGAAGGATCCTCAATGCCTGCACTGCAAGCTTCACAAAACCATGGTGCTGACTGACATAAAGAATCAGTACTTGAAAAACTTTCTACATCAGACACACCATAGCATCCTAAAATACAACTTTAATATTAAATTGCCTCTATGTCTGATAACAGGAATGAACACTACTTTGAAGGTACATAGGAAGTAGAATTCATGGTTTACATTCTTACCTTCATGTACACTAACACCACATCCATCGCATTCAACGATTTCATTAATATCATCGCTTCTATCTCCTAAGCAACCACAACAAATTAACATTTTACTTAATTTGTCTTCTAGAGGGCCTCCTCTTAATGCTTGTTGGCGAGCTTGTTCAATTACATCCCCCACTGTCAAATTAGGATTTTCTTTTCTATTGAGTAATGGATCTTCCAAGGAATCATCAGATTCCTCAGACACATCTTCCTCCTCTTTGATGTACATGTAAAATTACTTTATTAGCTCCACAAAAAACATACTAATTACTCAATAAAATTATTGTTTAATTTTACCTTTTCCAATATCGTTGGAGTCCTCTGAATCATCATCAGATTCCTCACAATGATCCTCAATCCTAAAGTCACTGTCATCAGAACTTTCACCTAAATCAAAGTCAAGCAAAGGTGTAGTTCCTATAGGCTTGACTCTCCTCTTCTTTGGGTCTCTTTCAACTGAAAATGAATGTAAGTTAAAGTTTTTTATTTGTATGATATATTAAAAGTGTATTAAGGAGAATATGTAGGCTGATGAAACATTTTATAATATACAATACACTTGCCCAGAAGTGCACATATTACTAAAAATGTATTAAAAAAAAATTAATGTTAGGTTATGTAAGTGTTTCATTTATAATAAATACATACAGAAGCTTGTCATATTACTCTTGTAATGACACTTCTATTTAATTTCGATGGGGTTATTTTGTACTTTCTTAGTTACTCTCGCTTAATTTCCGATCAGTGGTTCTGACACTTCGTGCGTAGCTATATAGATCTTGAATGTCTCCCACTACTCGCCGAAGTCAACGAGTCGTTGCTTTGTAAAACACTGACATACGCGTAACATACAATGCCGGCTATATGAATTAGGTTAATTTTATGTACACTGTACTTATCGTATTATGTATGCGTCACATAAAGGACTTACTAAGCGATCAAATGCTTTCTGAATTAAGTTTCTTGAAAATTAACTAACCAGTTAATACACAATTTTTTATAGCAATTTATAAATTTGTTCGGATAATTTTAATAACATTTGATGTTATTGTAAAAGCTTGATAGAAATATATAAAACATATTTTGTATATACTTGTTAATAAATCGTAATTTTTATTTTTTAGAACTATGAGCAGTGTTCTCTTCAAAACCTGATACATAATTGGAACACAAGAATATATCGTAAAATACGATGTATTAATGCAATACTTGCATATTTTCAACTATGTAAACAAATCGTGGTGACTAATTCATTAATTTACATTTTTAAATATATTTAATATTAACTTAAGTGGGCTGAAAACTTATTCATATGTTACACATTACTTTTCCTAACTAGCAATGGAAAATATTATATTACGTTTCAGAATATAACATTTTCAACTCACTCATTGTTTTGTATAAAAATCCTACGTCATCGTCCTGAGACATTATCCACTGGTAAAGATTTTCTTGAGTTTACAATAAAAAATTTTTGATACTTCTTTAAATGTATTCTCTTTACTTTACAGAAATTTTAAAAAATTTCACTGCACACACGAACGACACAATATACACGCTATGTCGTATAAATATGCATGAAATTTTTAAATATCCAGCTACCCAGTTACAGAAATATAGAAGAAACTTCCTTTGCTAGTATTATCCTTCTGACGCCGTCGTGTTCTGCTCGAATCAGTAACAAATCGCCATATTGAATCTATCAAAATCCTTTAGCGGGAAGTACAACCGATATTTACCAAATTATTTATTCATAAAATAAAATTATGTTGTGTACATTTTTAAAGTGGACAATAGATTTTAAAATGTTACTGTGTACTTTATATTTTGTTTTAACTTATTCTAATATCTACAGCATATTGTCTCGTCATAATCATAGAATCCTTTGAAGTTATGCGATAAGACAACGCGTATGTAAAATTAAAAATGTATTTTTTTTACAAAGTAAATATTTAATCTTTCTAAATTTGACTAATATAGATAATGTATACTACATGATCGAGGATCATTGAAAAGATGAAGGAATGGGAGCTGTAGTTATAAGGTACAGCATACTTACGAATAGAACAAAGAAAAAGAATAAAAGTTTCCATACATGTAGTATAATATACTATACTATTTACATACTTTAATGACAGCAATAGTGAAATAAAATGGAATGCAAGGATAAAATAACGATCTTGTTCTGTCATCAATTACGTACGTAGATGACCTTTTCATTTTTCATGTTTCAATTTGTTTCAACATGTCTCAACGGTTTCAACTTCTTCCATATTTTCCGAACATCGCTTGTGACTGTTTGTGACTCTCTTTACAACTTAGATCTGGTGAAAAAATAAAACGATTTGTTCAAATATATTAAAAAGCAATTACAATAATTGGTTAAAAGAAGTAATATAACATAAATTAATTGAAATACATTTTTTTTTTTATCTTATGCGAATCTCATTAAATAAAACTTATAAAATGATAATCAAATAATCACGAAGTAAGTAATTATGATCAAATTACAATGCATTTTATTGTAACTTTCGGATTTTTAATTCCGGTAAGAGTCGATGCAAAGATCGACAGAGATGAACGTGCGGGTAAGGGTAAGATTAAAAAGAAGAGAGAACAGAGTAAGAAGTTAACAATAATTAAGAATACATCAGAAATTGTGGAATCTAAAAAAAATGTTATAACTGTTGGGGAAGTATTAGCGGAAATACACGTTGAATACGAACTACTGCCAGGTTATACTTTTAAATTTGACTGCCGTTGTTGGGAGATGGCTTCGAAGGTACACGATTTTATATGTTATTATAAAATTATAATTTTGTATGTTTTATTTGTCAATTCCTTGATTTCAATCACTCTGAAACCGCAGATTCTTTTAGTAATCTTAAATAATATTGTATTATTGGTTGTAAATCACATGATGGTCAATTTTTGTTAATCAAGATAACTTTCTTATACTGACCCTCATTGTGTAGATTTATATTGAAAATGATGATTGGTGTTTAAGGCCCATATTATGTCCAAATCAAGAAAATAATGTTTGGGTCATATTTTCTGTTCATCATATAGTTCATTTAAATGAAATACACTTAGAGAAGTTCTTTAATTATCTTATTACTTACCACATTTTCTCTGGAAGGAATAAATTCTATGAAAGGTCAGTTAAAAGTTACAAACACAACATTTTTGAAGTGTATTTATTAGTTTTACACAATCTCGATTACAAATTATAAATAAAATGTTGTATTAGGTATAAGTCTTACTATATTCATTTATTAAATATGTATGTGACAAAGTTATTAATTAACATTAAATATTATGTAGGACCAAAAGAGATAAAGTAAGACAGTTTTATATAGATGGCAAATCAATGAACATTGAACAAAATGTTTTTCTTGAAATATATTCTTCTGAATTGTATAAGTCTGATTCCACTATTAAATTAAAATCAGAACCAACAGTAGTCAAATATGAAACTGATGAATTCAGCATTACATCATATGTTGATGCAATACCAGGTATCAACAGATTTTAAGATTTAAACAATTTTATTAGGGTACTGCATTCTAAATATTATATTATAATTACTGCACTTAAAAACAAAATAAATATTTATAGTTGTTTTAATTTTATTAGACATCAGACATCAATATAAGTTTTGGAAAATGTTAAAAAAACAACGGTTTCCATCTGAATCTGTGGAAATTGATTTTATTCCATCAACTGACGTTAAGACAAATTTTAAATTAAAAAATCAAAAGACAGTAAAAAGACCAAAGAAGGAGAAATCAAAACGGGAGACTGTTCAAAAAATGTCTCTACCAGCAAATACTTTGTTTTCTGGTAAATTGAATTTTTAATTCTCCAAATAAAATGATGTCAATCACAGGCATTCTTATTATACTTTATACATTATCTTGTATTATCCTAGGTTTCACAAACACTTTAATTTTCAGATATGGGTACAATTACTTGTTACACAAGAACATCACAAATACCAAACATTACATCTTCTTTGATTTACACACAGTGTAATGATATTTTATCCAATAAAGGATTACGAAGAAAACTAAATCCTATATCTATTAAGTTAGAACAAATGTCAAATTTTCCATACGATATAGTAATCAAAAGTGGATTTAATTATCTCTATGCAAAAATTATGTTTGTTGATCAAACAATTATGACACCATATTATATTCCTACTAGAACAATATATTTTGAGTTCATGAAATGCTTTCTCAATGAGGAATTTCAAGCAACAGAGTTGATCAGCTTCCTTGGAACAAAACTTCTTACTGTTGAAGTAATAATTATTTTTCTTCTTATAGATTATGCATAATTAATTAATTAATTGATACTATAAATTAGATAATTGGCATAAGGAGGAAAAATGTAGCCAAGCCACTAGTTTCTGTATCCCAGAAGCCAGGAACAAAGAAATCAGTGAAAGAACCAGATACACATGAAAAAGAGGATGTTTTACTTTGCTTTGCATCATTTGATGTGTCTGATCTTTTGAGAGGCTTATGGGAAGTTAGATTAATAGGTAGTGTATCTCAGCCTAACAATATGCATTGTGTTAGTATCAATGACAACAATGCTGAAAATGATCAGAAAAATTCTCCACTCACCAATGATATTCTGACATTGTTTGGAACTACTATAAAGATCAAAGTTCATGTAGCATGTGATCTACATGTGGTACATAACATGGTTCTTCGCCATTTTCATACATTTAATAGAATTTTCTTAATTTTACATGAGTATGAGTTAGCTAATAGTATTTTGGCAGATGTATGTTCCCACAATTGCAGTTTATTTCGTAATCTTCCATCTTTGAATGATGGTAGTGACTTAAAGGTACAGTACATTATTAAATTTCAAATTAATTCAAACCAAACTTAATATAATTTTTTGTTATTGCATTCAAATGATTATGAAAGGTATTCAAAAATTACAGAACCAGTAACATTAATGAAAACAATTTATGATGCAGGTAGAAGAAGCAACAAAAAACATTTTGACTGGCTTTGCTATTGATGCTAATGATCAATATTATATTTTTCTTGAGGGTTTAGCTAATGGATACTTGTTAAAAATTTGGGAGAAGATAGCCAAGCTTTCAAATGAAGAAGGCTATGTTTTTTATAACAGCACTTGTGTATTTCTCACAAGACTATATACAGATTTCATGCCTTTAGGTGGATTTCTTACACTTAAGCTAAGGTGAAATGAAAGTAATGATTATTTATGAATGTGATATGATTTTTATATTTATTAATCATTGTTAAAGTGAATCCTTGGAGACCGAACTCCTACATCATGGTTTATACATTGGTAAAACAGGAAAAACTTTCCGAGCCAATGTATTGAGAACAATAGGTTTGATGAAACTAACTTCAACTATGACATCTCTATCTCAGAAATGTTTATTACCAAATACAACTGCTGTAAAATATTTATTTCATGAAATTGGTAAACACTATTTTGAAAATTTTGCATTGAAAAGTGAAGAATAATTGTGAAGTAAGTAAATGAGTGGATTGCATACAGCTAATACAGACCTTTTTCAAGATGATATAGCAAACTTTTAGTTATTAAGTAACGTTTTATTACAACGAGATAACCTCGTCACCAATGATTAAGATTATGTATATTTAAAATATAATTAAAATACACGAACTCATTAGCCAATGTATAAAAGAGTATACACTTTGTATATTCACTAATAGAGATTAAAAATTTGAATATAAAACGCTTATGTAAAAATTACTCTTCTATTGTCTCTGACTCTGCGTCTATAAAATGGAGTTTGCGCGTTGAAGTCGGGATACAATTGGTTTAAATCTCTTGGTTTCCTTTAAGTTCTGTATTGCATGTACCATTCACAAACTTATAATAAGAGCTTTACAAATTTTTGCATAATAAATAGACGAAATCTATTATTATATTTTACTGTAAGATGGTACGTTGAAATTAAATAATTTTTCCGACTATGAAACAGAATACAGTTTGCACTATGTTTTTAACAGAAAGCGTCGCTGATGTGTCGTCAACGATATAATAACGAATGTCATCCCAGTGTCGCAGCTCTTAACGTTTTTTTCGTCTCGGCCTCGACGCAGTTCCAGGAAAGGTTTAATTTATGCCTAAATTATGATGACGATTATTACTACAATTATAGATTGTAGATTGTATACACTGATGTACGACCAAATTGGAGAAAACTGTCAAGAAATCCTCGGTAGTATAGTGGTCAGTATCCCCGCCTGTCACGCGGGAGACCGGGGTTCGATTCCCCGCCGGGGAGGATTTCTTTTTGATTCTTCCAACTTTTTCTGGTTTCTCTTTTTGTTTGTAATATATTCGTAATAAATGAGTCGGCACAGTGGTATTATAACATATTATTACAGATGATAATTGTATGCCGCCAAACAGAGGTAGACAAAGTGCAGCGACGTCATTGTGAAGACTTTATGAAGTTTTGAAGACGAGGTGGGAGATTTGCAAAATACAACAGAGGAAATTATTTGCCATAGTTGAATTAACATGATTCTAGA